GGTTCGAAGTTAATCGAGTATCCTCGTACGGACTCAAGTCCTTAAGCATATGCCACGTACATATAGCGATCAAACTAACGACATTATCTGGTTTTGGTATAAAAGTGTAATCTTTATTTCAGTGGTATTTCAAGTTTATGCTTCTCGAAACGTGGCGAAGCTCTCTACTTGCACTCCTCGTCCGAATTACAACGGATTACTTTGTCTGCTACGAAGGTACGTGCTTTTAGAAACTGAACCTTACGCCTCTTAACATAGAACTCAATGATATAATGTGATACAACTTAATTATGTCGTTTTTGAAACTGTACCTTTTACCACTTAATATAAAACTCAGTAATTTCTTTTCTGAACTGAACCCTATACCACATAGAATAGAATTCATAATTATCATGTTTTGTTGTGTAGGTAACGATCGCTCAGTGTCACATTATCCTGTCGCCATGGGCCGCGGCACTGCGCGGGGCGGTGGAAGAACCGCCACTAACTAACGGAGAACACAAGGTGAGTAACTATGCGAATACTTGATTTTGGATCTTAGTCTCAGGTAGCTTTAAGTATATTTTTGAATATGAATTCAAGGTTAAGAAAAGATGATGCTTTTGTAACATTAATAATTGTTCTTATCACCCAAAGACTGGTAAAGTAATCCTATACGACTTTGTACACATTTCGTACAAAGCTTCCTCAGATAGTCTTTCCTCAATGGATTTTAGACTTTTACAAACAATGTAGGTAAAATATAGCTTGATAATCAGCCATCTTCATAAAGTAGTTGACAAATGAAGCCGTATTTATAGGATGTTCTAATTATGAAAGCTATTTTAATTGTATATACACTTATTTCCCAGCCGGAGGAGTCGTTAGAAGCCCCCCACGACGTGACGGCGGTGTCGGCGGACATCACGGTGGACTCCGTCCGAGACCACACCAACGCCGCGCCGGACGCTCAGCCTGCCGAGCTTAACATTAACTTACAGGTCGGAAAGAACATGACATTCTAATATTAGGGACCCACCCTTGCTTGCTCTGATCTTAATTCTCACTCTTTCGTAAGAATCTGACCATATCAACGAAACGAAGAATTAGTTTGAAATGAGCTTATAAAGTAATAGACACCATGCAATAATTATTTTACTCTTTCAGTAGAGCAGTGTTATGTTTACTGTATTATAAATTCAACAATAGCAAATTTACAAAAAATACTCATTCTACTCATTTAGATCATATGTAAAATTTATCCTAATCCTATTTCGTACTGACTTCACTTATCAATATTTCATTAATCTAACTCAATGAACAGAACTCGCAAGTGAACACGTCTTCGATGGTGGTGAAGACGACGACGCGCACGATGGTCAACGACACCAACGGTGACGGCACCACCACCACTACCACTACAACCACCACCAACTCCACCAGCGAGAATAGTGAGTATTTATGTCACAAACACGTAGGATAGATCCTACTCAAATATAACATCTAATATATTCTTCTACAATAAACCCACAGTTGTTAGATCCTACCATATTATCTACTCTTTATTTATTTATTTACAACACACACCAATGAAACTTGTCTTAAATGCGTCGGAATTGGTTCAGCAATTTTGCAGTTCAAATGTGTGTAACAGAATATTTTTTATATTTGTATGAATATAATTAATAATGTCTATTTCTAGGTATATATAATTATGGATTCTATGTTTTCCCTTCAGAAGTAAACAAAAATTCCTTTTAGTGTCATTTTGAAAATCTGTCGCCTTTTTTGTAGTGTCAAAATCACTTTACTTGTTTTAATTAGTTTTATTCCCAGGATTATAACTTCCCCACCAATAAAAATATGATTTGCATGAAAGCAAACAATACGCTATGAATTGGCTTTCTTTGTATACAAATTTTTATATAAATGTTTATAAAGCAAAGCTTTTGCAGTTCCCTAAAATAATATTTTTATTGTATAATTTGTAATGGTATTGGAAATGAATAATTTGAATGATTCGATGACAAACACTCCGTAGTACGTACGTCTTTTGGCGACGTCGTCTTGCGTTCCAGGCTGATACAAAAGTTTATGTAATAATGCAGCTAAATTGTGTCCTTTTCTTATTAAAAATTATTCATTTCTTACCATTGATATAGTGTTAAACTTTACCATAAAATCTTTAAGATATAATTCGCTTCATACACCATTTTATATGTTTATGTTCCATGTTTATCCGTTTCTATGTTTGACGGGCGCTTTGTGTTTTGTTTGTAGTCCTAGAGCACAGTCGCGAGGAAGGAGTCATCACGCGCATCGAGGTATCCCACACTTTGCTTTCATAACTACCTTACCTTACCTACAATAACTTCTACATACCTTGCATGATACTATACCAAGTATTCTAGCAACTTTCTACTAATTATTTAGCTTCATATGCCTCTATTGATAAACCTTATAGATTCCTATTTCCAGAATTATCCAGTTACTATCTAAACTAACAATAACTAAATTTAAATTGTGTTTTAACCGACTAACTTACTCTAAGCAATGTTGTGGCGTCCGCTCGTGTGATGTTCGTACAGGGATCATTCACCACCATAGACAAATTTTAGAACAAAGAGTAAAGAATTAAAAACGAGATCGTTTTGGCACTAATCTCCAGTAGACCCTGGTAAACACGCGCGGTCGCCACGAGTTGCCGAGAAGAACGTTCGGTGGTACTCATAAGGCGGTGTTCACACAGACGGGCACGGTGACGGTGCCGGCCGGCACAGACCCGAAGCTGATCCTCGAGATGTTTGACCGGCAGCGCTCCCCCCTCAGCGTGCCCGTGCCGCCGCAGGCCGCCGCCGCAGAAACCAACTAGCGCGCCCGCCGCGCCGCCCGCACTCGCTGCGGTACCGGTCCTAGGCCCGCCACTATATTCCGCCACTTGTTTCTATCTAACGTATGACGTATACTGCTGTATCGTTCGCCCGGTATTCAGACCACCGATTCATGACGACGTACCGGTAATTTTATCATTTGACAAAATTGTATTAAGAGTGACAACGGTTAGTTTTACAATTAGTCTAATTTCTAAACGTATTTATAGCGTAAATTTCTTTCTTTGCCTAGACAGCTAAAGGTACTGCCATGAATTAATTCCTTAATAATAAAGTCAATTTGGTTACTCTAGGTATACAGAACTATACCATTGGGGAGCATTTTCTGTACATTTATGTATTAATTCCTTCTTGTTATAAGGTCTTTGCATTTTATTATCTTAACTCTATAAACTATTATTTACTATTATGTGGCTTGCATGTTTATAATGGCGATTATTTGGATGTAATTTTCTTTGCAATGTTGTGTATTATTTAGTTAAAATATAAATAGATGCTTATTCTGTACTTAACAGTATCACGTGAATTTTCTATTAAATGAGATTATCTTATCTATTTAATTGCTGTTAGTTTATATTTGAATATGGCAAGAGAGTGAAGCTTCTGAGCTGTATGTTCACGAGACGCTTACTGGCGACTGGCGAGCAATCCGTAGCGACAAATATATGGTGAATGTTATGTTAGTACAAACCCGGAGCGCCATAGCAACGTTTGTTGTATCCAGCAATACTGCAATATAATTGTGGATTGTTTTAAGTAATTTATAGTTAAGAGAACAATGTGAAATTAATATTCTAATTTAGCTCGTTAAGTTAGTATTTGGAACATTCGGAGTGAATGTGATGTGCCTATTTATTTCTTTCTTAATATAATAAAGATTGTATCTAGGTGATAGAATAGAAAAGTTTTTGACAATTAGTAATGACTAGAATATATTTTATTATGGATAGCATTTAGATTTTCCACAACAAGTTGGAGTAAACATTTTTATTGCCAATTTTATAATTATTAATATTATGAAGAAAAATTGTTGTATTACCTTGCAGTGTTTCACTTGAATTGTATATTCAGTAAATATTAATTTTAATAAATTATAATGTTGTACGAATGAAAGTTTTATGCAATATTTTTTTAGCTTTTTAAACGCGTTTTTGCATTTTATGTAACCAGTTTGCAATTTTATTTTGTGCCTATCTTAACTAGGATGTCGTGTTATGTTATTGAAGCGATGGCAGCTAGCTGTATGAGAACGTATTTGAGCACATCTTTACTACACATCACAAGTCGTGATATAAGGGGATTGATTTATTGTTTTAGACATATATTTTATTCATAGATATAAGTTAATGTGCCTGTCTTTTTTTGGTAAACGTTGGGCTGTTTCTGGCCCATGTCGACATAGTAACATTTACTGTAGGAAGCGTCAAGGGTACTCGTATGGCGTCCAAAATGCTTCTATTTATAGTATATACAAATTTTCTCCTTATACTGTGGCATTTTATTAAATTTGATACGAAGTTAGCAATTTGTATCCAACATTCTTACAAGAAAATAAAAGCTAAGACTATGATATTGTGTTTTTCATTGAATACTCACCGATTCCCGATTACTTCAATGTATAATAACGATTGAAATATAACCTATTGTTGAGAAATATAAGTATTAACCGACTCTACCTAGGAATTTAGCTTTAAAACTCTGGTAGTTGCGTTTGGAACTACTTTATCCTTCATGAATGGGGCAGTCAAGTATACTTGTACTTATTCGGAAGGGTTCATGCTAAAATAAAATATATTTAAAATGAGTTACAAGGATATACACTGATCTGCTTCAAGTTCAAAATGAGATTCACCACCCGCAATGCTATAAAAACCAATCTTTTTGAATCGACCAACGATATAGGCATTATCAATCGACATATTTGAAAACTTTCTATACTTATTATATTCTTTGACTTTTATTTGTAAAACTTATAGGCAATATCAATATTTGTTTTAATTGAAGGATTAATCGGATAACCATTCGACAATTTTTATATTTAGATATTTTATCGTGTGGCAATAAAACTGACACATGACATGAAATGCTGATGTCACACATAAATGTCATTTGTCAAAAGAAGTATGTGAAACGTCAAGTTGTCATATGTTTTGAAAATAAATAATTTTATTGAGATTTTATAAATTTAATTCAATAAAAAATAAAGATAACATGGACCTGTGCAGGGTTTGTCTTGGACCTAAACCCAATAGGGATATATTTTCCAAGTCACAAAAGACGAGAAGTGACAATAAAAGTTTTGCCGATATTTTTTTGTTTTGTTTCGACATACAGGTAAACAACGCCTTGTTTGATTGCTACACTCGTGGCCTATTTTCCACATTGTCTAAATGATATATTTCATCTCTTAGGTTGATGAGGACTCAAAAATCAGTACAAAAATATGTATAAAATGTTACAGTAAAGTTAAAACTTATTATAACTTTAAATGCCAAGCTGTAAAAAGTGATGCTTACTTAAAACAATTAGTACACGAGGAAAGCATTGTTAAAAATGAAGTATTTTTAAGAGATGATGATGATGATATAAAGAATGAACATGAACAGCCACCATCACCATTGAGTAATGACACTCAGGAACCAGAGGTGATAGTGAAGGATGAGCCAAAGGACGAAGTTCTTTTTAAAAATGGGGACGACTCTCATGATTATGACGATGACAATGTGTTGTTAAGTGTAATCAAGAATTTAAAGTATGAATATGTTGAAGATGATAGTAAAGAAGGTATTTATTTATTTTATGTATAAGTATCAATCTTGTTGTAATATTATCTAGGGGTATTATTTTGCCATAGGTAATTCTAAATAGAAACTGAAAACATTCTGAATAAATTTTGAGCAGTGGCTCCTAGCTGGTGGTCCAAAATGAAAAGGTGTGAAACCCCTGATTTAAAATAAAAATAGTATAAGTACCCACATGGCACACACTTTTAGTTCCCAGACCAGCTGAAAATGTTTTTATATATTTTCTATTCCACCATAACTTCATTCAACACAAAAAATGAGTTTATAAATTATATAATTTTCTACCTAAATGTGGCCAATGTGGCTTTATCTTCTCTTCTCAGTCCTACTAATTCTATATTTGGTTTCAAGAAGAACCAGTAAAGAAAAAAAAGAAAAAGAAAGATGTTGTTGTTAAGAGTAGCTCGGATCCTGTTAGACAAATATGTGAAGAATGTGGCAAAGCAGTGAAGGACCTGAAGGCTCACTCGTACCTCCACATGCCAGTGTCCTGCCGCAAACGTTTTAAATGCAAGAGCTGTGACAAAGTCTTCTCGAGCCACAGTGCACGAAACAAACACAACAAGATAAAACATTTAGGATTAAAAAAGCAATGTGACATATGCAATAAAAGTAAGTAATTTACAGGAAATAATAATATATATTTTTTAGTTTCCTTGATAATTGATAAGTGATAACACACAAGTTCAACCCGCATTTTATGATGTGATTGGTATAAATTGACAACATGGTAAGTGCGGTGATTGGGCAACAGGCTGCCACGCAACACACGCACGGAGCAACTCTTTGTGTGATGCACAAAATTGTTGTTCCGGGTCTGGGTGACATGTGTATGTGAACTTGTATGTTTGTAAACGCACCCACGACACAGGAGAAAAACCTAGTGTAGGGCAACATTTAAAAAAATATATAAAACATTAACAATGGTACTATGGCAACACAAGAATATAGCCTATTGCCTATGTGCGCGACGGTGGCGACGCGTAGCGTTTACAATATTTGCGGAAGCTGTCAAATAATAACAATGTAAACATTATAATTTTCTTTCAAAGATTGCCGTGTTGTGCGCGGCGGTCGTTATCTGTCCGCCACTACTCGCTTTGCACATAGCCAATATTCTTATGTGGCCATAGTACCACACTTTGGGAATAATCAAATAATCTTATAAGGATTTCCATGTACACAAGTAGGAGTTTGATACCACTCACCTAGTACAATGAGGCCTATCGTATTTTTACTCACCAGACGGCGCTAGTGTACACCTCTGTCGCGGAGAACCTAACGTGTAACCGGGGCTCCGGCTCGACGTGTAGGAGAAGGAACGGGGTGGTTTTTAGTCAGTAAAAGTCTGACACTCCCTCCCGCCTCACCCAGACGGGAGCAGTCATTCGATGATTTTCCCACCTTAAAAAAAAAAAAAAGTACACCTCTCATTCTTCGTCCAATAGGGTATTAGCTAGTGTCACACCATTGGCTGTTGATTATTTGACAGCTGCAGTAATTGGCCAAAAGTCCCCTTCCGACACAACGTTCGACGCCATTCAGAGCTCTCCTATTAGCTAAGAAGTTCAAATCTTCACATTGAACTTATCTTAGAAGACAAAACAATATTTCCTTAGAAGTTTATAATTCTTAATTTACTTATTTAATCAATCTCATTGTATTTGACAGCGGTAACACATCTCAAACAGCACATACGCCTGATACACAATCGCTCCTCGCTACCGTTCTACTGCGTGTCCTGTGGTCGCAGGTTCATTTCCAAGTCTACGTTAGACCTGCACATGACGTCACACACCAGAGATCGCCCCTTCCCCTGTACGGAATGCGATAAAAAGTTTTCTTGTAAACAAAGAATGCTTATTCATAAGTAAGTAAAAAAACTATAAATAAAACCATATAAAAAACACATTATTTTTAGCCGACGATTCAAAAGATATTGTGTGTCTCGTTTGTCTTTCGTTATTTCATTTTCAATGCAAATAAGTACAATAAGTACATTAATTAACTCATTTGACACTCACTTTTTACTACCAGTAATATAAAAAAATCTAAATGTCCCCAATTGGTATGGGGAATAAATTCCCCAATTACTTGCCAACTAGTCAAATTCAATACTTTTTTCGAACTGTCAAAAACGACAGTTTTGAATTTTGTATGCATTGCACCTATATTGTGACGTCACTTTTTTTAGCGTCAAACAGCATACTTATATCTTGAAAATTTGCTTTAAAAATACTAAAATTAAATTGATCACAAAATCAATTAGGTAATGAAAGTGTGATTATTTTTTAACATTTTACTGTATTCAGCAGTCGAAATCATTTATTTTTGAATAACGCAAGTACCGAATTGTTACCTCTTTCAGTTATGATTTGGAAAAGTTAAGTAAAAATCGTGAAATACTTTCAGCCAATCAATTTGATATTTAGTACTCAGCTTTTGCAATACGTTTGAAAAACTAACAGTTGTTAGTTTAATTAGTGAATTAATGTGTGCATTATTTATAAATAGATACATTATTTTATTTCAGACGTCAAGTACACGACAAGGAGAAGACGCACCTATGTCAATTATGTTCTAAGAGCTTCTTCAAGAAATATCATTTACAAGTACATTTAAGGTAAGATTACAAAATAGGTTCCACAGATTTGCAACTTTAATAATGTAAGCAATAGACTTGAAAATGGTATACCTAAGGCCACGCCCGCCGCTAGCATTCGAGCACCCGCGTGCAAATACCGATTATGCCGCCCCCCCTTTTTGTAGTTTGGGTAACAAGTCCTCAAATTGCTCTTGACGAAGTGACTCCTACAACTCTTACTAACTAAAAACCACCCCATTCCCTCCAACACTTGCTCAAAGCCAGGGCCCTAGTACCCATAATGACAGCCTACCCTCCAGCAAGGCAACAATCCTGGTGGGTCCGTCTGTGGTGTCTGATGAAGTAATGACTCTTTGAGGCCTGCATTTTACACGACGCGCCGTACGCTCGAGTCTGCTTCGTGTCAGGTGATCCTTGCTTGCCGTTCGCAGACTCGCGCTTACGGTGGCGGAGAAGGCGACGCGATACGACACCAAAACCGTCTCCTGCGGCAGATATCTCGAAAATGTAAGAAAATACTCGATAGATTTCGAGTAAGTCCAGAAAGTAATCGAGGACGCTCGATAGATTTTCAGTAACTCTCGAAAGTGATCGAGGACGCTCGAAAGTGATCAAGGACGATCGAAAGTGATCGAGGACGTTCGATAGTTTTCGAGGACGATCGAAAGTGATCGAGGACGCTTGAAAGTGACCGAGGACGCTCGTAAGTGATCGAGGACACTCGATTGTTTTCGAAGACTCTCGATAGTTTTCGAGTACGCGCGAAACTGATCGAGGGCGCTCGATAGGTTTCGAGGAAGCTCGATAGGTTTCGAGGACACTCGAAACTGATCGAGGACGCTCGAAAGCGATCGAGGACGCTCGATAGTTTTCGAGTGCCTATAGACTGTGATCGTGGACGCTCAATAGTTTTCAATAACGCTCAATAGACTTCGAATTTAAGGCGCTACTGACCGGTATAGGGCCTCAAACGTAATACACAACGCTAATATTGTTTGCGTCGAGTGGGATTTTTTCCCGGCGATGATATTTCTTATGCTTTCTGCTTACTCTGGACAATGATTTTGAATATTAGGTAATAAGTCGCTCGATTTGCCGCCCCCATGATCGTGCGCCCGTGTGCTGTGCACGCTTTGCACGCGCGCTTACGGCGGGCCTGCCTAAGGCTGGTTTAAGAGTCGCGCTGACTGTACGCTGACCGTCAGCGGTGACAGCCAAAATGTATGAACTTCTAGGTAGCGTTTTAGAATGACGCGATGCCATCAGCGCGCATGGTTCCTAGAAGTTCACATGGCTCGGTTATCAGCGCCGACGGTCAGCGTGCAATCAGCGCGACACTAAAACTAGCCTAAATAACACGATCCACGTCGCTATTTTATACTGTCTTTATTCTATAGGAGCCATTCCAAAGAGAAGCCGTATGAATGTCCAGAATGCGGCAAATGTTTCTCCACCACTACAATCCTGAAGAGTCACCGAGAGATCCATTCGGAGGAGAAAGCCTTTAATTGCACTCTCTGCAGTATGTCCTTCAAAAAAAGGAAGTGAGTAAACTTTGGATTAACCTTCTAGCACAATCTACAATTGGGAGCAAACAAACAGAGCCACTAGCATATTTTCTTTCCCATTCCTTGATAAATATTTTCTGATACAAGTATTTTATTAATTGGTAGCGTATGTAGTAAAATAGGTAATTTAGTTACCTATAAAATGGGAGCATTTTGTTGTAAAAAGATTTTATTTAGTTATAGAGAGTTTTATAAATGAAAATAAAAAAAACGTTAGTGGCTCTGTTCTTTTGCACCATCGTCATCTATTAATTTGTTAGCGGGATGAGGGGTTGCCATAATTCCTAGGTTAAGCGGAAACCTTGGGGATCATAGGTCACGAAATTTTAAAGGATGCTCTCACCCCACAGTTCTATGTGTAAAAATAAATAGTTCATTAATTGGTTTCTTGTTAATCGACTTCCATTACTAATGGTTAAAGTACGAGTACTGAATTAAAAATATCTAAGTCAATACTAATTTCGTCTTTCTACCGTCAGCTACCTAAATGTCCACATGGTCAGTCACACCAAGGTAAAGCGCTACCCTTGTCAGTACTGCGGCATTAAGTTCGGACGGTCAGATCATCGCAAGCGGCACGAGTACACAGCACACGAGAAGAATTTCATCAGCGCCTAACAAGGATACTAAGATACACCACTTTCACAGTATTCTAAGGAATATTTTTCGACGATAACGCCATCTATATAGTGTAATTTTACATATGGTACAAGTTTAGAAGTTTTGTAAAAGTTAATGATACTAGCGGGATTGAGGCTGCGTTTCCATTGACGCGGAGCTGAGCGGAGAGGAGCAGTGAAGAGAGGTCAAAAGTGGTCAGTGTTTCCATGTAAGCGGTGCGGACTAAGAGCACAGCGGAGCCTACTTTTACAATTGCGTATTTTTGCGCTTAGTTACTGTCAATATTTCAGAAAGACCATTCGTCGTGTTGTGGATTAAAAGGAAAAAAGGAATCATTTTAGATCTTTCTCTACTTGAGAAGGAATCAGATGCCGTAGCATTTACTGTTGCCCTCGCTGTCCTTCGTATAGTTCGTATAGTAGGTACTGACCCGCTGTCCTCCGCTCTGCACCCGAATGCTCGTTGACCTCCGCACTGCATTGCCTCGCTGTATTTTTGTTATGAATATCCGCTCATCTCTGCTCCACCCCGCTCACGCTGTTTCCATTGAAGCGGGGCAGAGATTTCGACCATAGTGATTGGTCAATTCGAGCACCGCTAAGCTCCTCTACGCGCCACTCCGCGCCAATGGAAACGCAGCCTTAAACGGCTTCCTCAATATCATCGTGCTTACCTATTAACACTCGTCATGAACTGTTGCGTTCCTGCTGCTCTAGTCTAGGCAAACGGACATGTTCTATTCAATGTGACATGACCTATTTTACCTACTTAACATTTACAAAACTAGTTATATCGTTTGTGTTTCTACGTACTGTATTCTTACAAGCCTATGTCTTCTATACCAGTTTGAATCTATAAAAACTTTATATTTACGTTTTTGCAAAGACTTGTGTCATTAACTTACGAACCTTCTTTATTTATATCGGTGCGTCCAAATCTAGTGGCTCATTCGCTAGATGTGAACGCACTATGTCATATACAGTTTTAATTTAGTTTTACAATGGTGCTCTAAGTTCAATGTCGTGATTTACCAGCGTTGTAGCGTCTTTATCTCGAAAATGGTTGGACCAACTCGGTTAAAATTGTTGAATGCGAATAACAATGATCAATTGGAAACTAAATTATTATTGATGATTATTTTCATATTATGGAAAAGATAAATTATTTTATTTGTTTGTTTAGATTGTTATAAATATTATAGTTTTAAAATTCGTTATTTGTTGTTGTAAATCTGGTAGATATCTGTTAATTTAGATCCGTCTTGGTATCTGTGGCGTTAAAATTTTGATATAGCGACATACTAATACGGTAGTTGACAGGTGGTCAAATTCACTACTTTTATTAAAATGTGAAAAACGATACTTGTCTATGAATTTTGTATTGGATCGCAACTTATGACGTCATCATATTTCTGCATCAAATAGCATACTTATTTCCATAAAATTAGCGAGAAAAAATCCAAAAGAGGTAAATTGTCAAATCATCATCAATGAGAGTATGATTATTTTTTATTTATTTATTGCATTGAGAAGTTGAAACAATTTCAATAGTAGCCAATTTCGATAGTAGCCTATCAATCAAATAGCCATGAAGTAAGCAACAAAACTTGCAATGCACTTCAGACTACAAATCTGAGAGGTTGTGTTATATTTTTTTACTATTTATATCTACTATTATACTAATTAATGGATTTTATTCCTGTGATGGGTAGACCAACCAGAATGGCTTTAAAACATTCGTCCTTCGGTGTGGTTATATTACTTTAAAACCGTTAAATAAATATATGCTTGAAGTATTGTTTGAAGATAAGTAATGTTGGGTTATATACGAATCGTTTGACTTCTATTTATGTTATAAAAATAAAATCTATGAGATTTATAAAAATGTTTCTGTTCTTTTTTCCAAATAAGGAATTTCCTGATACGATCCCAGATTTAAACACAGCCCTATTAGAACCTTCAGCATCACATATCGATCGAATACGTTATTTTACAACTAATCAAATTCAATACTTATAACTAGAGACCGGATAATATGCAACATAAAAAGCTTGAAATATGCATGCAAATATGCATGAAAAATGCCTAAAATATGCACGAAAACTGACAGAATATGCAACATTAAATGAGTTTTTTTTGTTTTGTAAATATTATTCCTTTAGATTTAAGTATTTTGCGACGTGAACACTTGTCTTGACATGTTGGTCTATTTGAAACTTTTTAGTGCACGAAATGTTTTTCTCGCACACTCGACAATATAAAAGATTTCCGTCGTAAGTAAATGTTCCAGGAAATTCACTTATCCACGAAGACATACTTTTTTTTTCGGGAGGCTTTGTACACACACAAAAACTTTTAACTGCAGGTGAATTATCCGAGCACGAGCGTGTCAACAATCAAAGTAATAATGACATGCATAATAGGTACCTACCAAAACAAAATACGCGCGGCTGCCGAGTGCGCTACGCTCGAAAAATACCTACCTACTGTAAATTATAGCAATAATATGCATCATCACTAGATATTAGTAAAAATATGCTATTAGCCTTGAAAATCGCTTAAATATGCAAATGCATATGCAAATATGCAAATGCATATTATCCGGTCTCTACTTATAACGAAACGTCAAAAATGATAATATTGTTGTATGAATTTTGTACCAAAAACTAACTTATGACGTCATCAGATTTTCGAGTCAAATAGCACACTTATTTCTGAAAAAATTGCTAGAATTAATCGAAAATTAAGTAAATCTTCAAATACTTATATGAATGGAATTGTAATTATTTTTATAACATTTAATTGGATTAAAAAATCAAAATTATTTATTTTTGACCCAGAAAATACCCAATTGTTTCCCAATTTTCGCAAACCGCCTTCTTTTGAAAAATAGACGCCGCTTTATTAATTTAAAACACAGTTTATTACACAACACATATCACACAAACACAATAAATATTAAAAATTGAGAGTAGGTCAATAACTGGATTCAAGTCTGCTCTTGCAGTTCTTCAAGTTGGTTGCCCTGCTCCTCAGGAAGGATTCCTATTTTTTCCTTGGCGGCATCAAGAATGTCTTGATCAGTCATGACGAAACCTCTGTCTATGTAGCTACAGGTATCGGAGGCAGCTAGGCCGGGACTCCCTCCTGGAGAGAATATGTTCAATGTGTTGAATATACATTCAAGCTTATCCTCAAGGTGTGGATACTCGTTCTCCAGCACTCCCACAATGTACCGCAGACGTTCATTCAACTTCCTCGCTTGGGCGTGGTCTCCTAACACTTGGTCTTTCGGCTTCTTACAGCGAACTGACTGCCGCTTTATAGCAGTAGCAAGTTCAGTCCCGAAGCGTTGCGCTCGGACTACGCGTTCAAGGAGCTGCGAAATAGGGAAATAGTAATTTTAGTAAATCAGATAGAGATGGGCACCAATTTTTTAAAGCAATAACGATCGAGTCTAGTCTTAGAATAGAAATTATTGAAATGTTTTGTTAGCAGTTCTATACTCGTTACAACTACACTACATTACATATACACCGATACTCACCCAATGTTTGTTCCGCTCAGTGGCCATGGTCTCCTTGATGATCTCCGCGACGCGTTCCTCCATCTGCGAGTTCTTAGCGTTGGCCTCGGCTAGCTCGCGGTCGAGACGTTCCTGGTCCTTCATCAATTGCTCCATTTGAGCCTTCGCGTCTGATATTTCCTGGAACAAAGATAGGTAAATGAAAGAGTTGTTAAATGCTCAGGTAGTACCACTACGCCTAGCTTAAGTTGAAGTTTTAAAGTCATACCCGCGCGGACATAAGGCCAAGGATACACTTTTTTTCTTTACTGTGTCCTGGTTGTTTCTATATCAAGACTTTTTCACTCACTTCAATTTGATTAAACTTCACTTTTAAAAAATGAGAGCTCTTTGGCTCTAACCGAAACTCAACTATTTTTCTTAATAATTTTATTAAAGTTACCTTAGTAACTCGGTTCACATCAGCTTTAGCAAGTCTCAATTTGTGATGGTAAGTAGACTGCGAAGTGTTGGAACCTCCATGGGACTTCTCGACGGCTGCAGCAGCCCTTGTTTTCTCCATGGCGGTGTCTCGACGTGTTACGAAGAGCGCCAAGTCATCGGCCAGCTTCTCACTGGTGCGACGGAGTTGTTCTCGACGGACCTAAGCGGGAAATATCGGATAAATCTGGAGGAAAATATCATCGATGGAGTTAGGTCCCCCTAGAGCTTGTTTATGTATGTACGTTAAAAACTCTTTTCCATTTTTTCCTACTTGTACTAACCTCCATCCTATGTATTTCAGCCCTCATCTGTCCTATTTCACCGCTCAGCGACTTTGCAGCCGTCATGCTTTTCTTCAGTTCTACTGCTAATATTCCCTGAAAATGAAAAATATACAAGATAAAAAAGGAATAACCACCATGAAAATATAATAGTTGTCGATCATTTATGGTAGTACCAACCTTCCTCTGCCAAATAAGTGCCTCCCTCTGAACTCGATCTAATTCTTGTGTGAGATTCATCTTCTCTTTATCCAACTGCTCTATTTCATCTTCAAGTTGGATTATTTCTGTTTCGGCATCCTGTGAAAGCAACCAACCATGTAGATAGAAAAAAATATTAAAGTAAAGCTTAGGTATCACATACATAACGTAACATATAACACCACGCCTGTTATCCCCGAAGGGGTAGGCAGAGGTGCACATTACGGCACTTAATTCCACTGTACAATGTAACACCCACTTTTCACTATTTATGTTATAACTCCCGTGGAGGTGAGCCTATTGCCATATCTCGGGCGCAATTCCAGACGCCGTGCTAGAAGTCAGATTTTTTAAAAACCTTAGCTGGCATGCTTAGGTATCATGAAGTTAATAATATTAGTTAACTTCGATCTCCAGCTCGCCAGCCGAGCGTAAATATCTATAACAAACTCTATGATTGTTGAGTTTGTAGTAGAAGTCCGTAGTCCAGTAGTGGACCACCACAGATGGGTACCAGTAGGGCCGATGCCCGATACGGAGCCACGAAAGGCCTAACGGGTTGCCGGGGCTCCGGCTCAAAGTGCAGGAGTAGCAACGGGGTGGTTTATGGTCAGTAAGAGCCTGACACTCCCTCTCGCCTCACCCAAGGCGGGAGAAGTCATTGCCACGGGCTATATATTATGTGAATTGTAAATAAAAAAAGGATATCATACGAGTACCATGGCTACCGTGCAACTTGTAACGGATTCCATTTCCGCACGGAGCAACTCTTTATGTAAACCACAGATTGTTGGTTTGTGTCTGGGTGTTATGTGTATGTGATATTGTACATATGTTTGTAAACGCACCCACGACACAGAAGAAATCGTAGTGTGGGGCAACGTTTAAAAAATACAAACCAACCCTAACAAGATCGAAATTAAAAAAAATATGATAATCATTCCTCGCTTTAGAAAAACATATATGCCAAATATTGTCATATGTAACCGTCCATTCATCTCACGGTTTTTATTTCGCAATTACCTTGAGATTAGCAGCATATTCATGTGATATGGCGACGTTGCTTCTCTGAGCGTGTTCGTTCCTCTCGGTGGCGTCCTTGCGCGTCCGCTCCAGTACCTCAAGTCTCCCGCGCAAGGTCCGCAGCGAGCGCTCCACGCGGTTCCTGTCTGCTACCACCGTGTCGGACTCCGCTTGGATACGCATTATTTTTTGCTCACAGATTTGGATCTCTGCAAAATAGGGACATTTAGGTTAAAATGAATTTTGGTTTCATAACTTGAGCAGGTTTGGAAATATTTTCTAATATTGCATCCCTTTTTTGTACACTCCTCTTCTCGTAAGACTAAAGTTGCAGCTCAGTTGTGGGCACCGTTACCGTTAAATAATAAAATAGAGTAAAATACCGTTTACATTTTACTCTATTTTATTATTTCTAATAGCTCTATTTCCCTGAAAGGTGCGAGTTCATGACTAAATACATAGGTATACGTATTTGTTTTCTACATTTAAGACTAAGTTTAACTTTACACTTGGAATAATTTTATAGAATGATAATTTTAAAGTTCCTGAATCAAATTGAAAGGATAATGGATGCTAACGTTTACTAATGAGGTTGATGTCTGTGACCATGACATGGTGCTGGTCTGCCAGTTTGACGACGTGGCCCTGCTGCCGCAACCACTCGTGCTGCATCACCTCCGTACGCTCCCGCAGACACTTGATCTGCTTCTCCAGACCCTCGATACGACGCTCTTGGGGAGACTTCATCTGTAGTGGAATTATTTGCGTTTAAATTTTACATTTAACACAGCAGCGTTTACAAAGTTCTGCGGTATTGTGTGCTGCCGAGCACTAGGTCTCGGGTCTTTATGGATTTTGTTTATACGTACAGAGCCTAGACCTGTACCGGCGTATAACAATGTATAATTTATAAGCCGGTAAACGAGCAGATGGATCACCTAATGGTAAACAATCAGCGCCGCCCATGAACACCTGGAACACCAGAGGCGTTACAAGTGCATTACCGGCCTTTTGGGGATTAGAAATTTGAGGATTGTTGGGGATTGGGAAGGGGTGGGAGGACAATTGGGCCTCCGGTAATCTCACTCACACGACGAAACACAACGCAAGCGTTGTTTCAATTTGGTTTTCTGTGAGGCTGTAGTATCTCTCCGGTCGGACCGGCCCATTAGTGCACAAGCATGGCTCTCCCACACTTAATCACAAAAGTTTAATAATATAACGTAACTGAAGTGCCTTAAGTAAATGCTTTGTTCATCTGTCAACACCTCTTCAGTCAACCACAAACGTTACATCATCACATTATTTTAAACTCACATCAAATATCTCCTTTAATGCGATAAATTTCTTGGTGACGATATCCTGCTCCCTCTGCTTCCTCGTCAGGACCGACAGCTTGGTATCATACTCAGCCTGCAGCAGATCAATCTCTTGCTCCTTCTGTTTCATCAGAGCTTCCGTCTCTTGCAGTACCGCTGCGTTCTTCGCTTGACGGTTTCGCATTATCTCGATTTCTAAGAGTATGCGAGCGTGCTGGTTCTCCATTGACATTAGGGATATTTCCTGAGAATAAAATTCCATTTAGAGAAGAAAATCCCGTTAATTAATGTTCTTATTTACAATGAAGACTTATAAATTAGTCGTAACTTGTAATCATTAAAAAGAACGTACGGTCAGCATCAAAAGTCGATGACCACGTTCAAATTTTCAAAATCACTGTACATTATATCACCCATAAATCGCTTAACTAGAGAGGGCGCTAATATTGAATAAACATCTTTAAAGTTCAAAATTAACTGAACACTACTCGTCAAAGGTCACTGAACACCATTTTGTCAAAAATTGCTGACCGTTATAATATCCGAAAACATCATATCATTAAGTTTTACAAAAGTCACTGAACAATATAAAATGCTTGTTTTGGTTATCCAGTGCAATCACAGCAACGTACAAAAATAACTTAACATCATTAATAACAAAAGTTACTGAACATTACTTTGTTTCGGATTTGTAGCGTGTAAATTTATACCATCAAAAGTAGCTGAACTGCAAACTAAAAACCGTTGACGATGTTGCTGTATTACGATTGAATAGTAACCATATTTGACTATCAAAAATCACGCAGATTCTGTTTGAATTTATACCATAGCGTAATTATTTATTTTATTCGTAAAGCAATAAGACTCATTTTCAAAAATCACGCAGATTCTGTTCAAATTCATACCGTCGACTTAGTTTATTATTTCTATACTTACGATTGAATTAGAACCTAATCTGTATACATATAAGACTAATTTTCAAAATTACCACAAATTCCGTTTTAATTCAATTGTTTGGGAAACATAGTTGTGATTATTTGAAAAATGTTTTACCCTTGAATGTAAAAATAATATTTCTACTTAATTATCACTTTGTATCGGATGTAGACCATTGTGGTTAGTCGCGGAGAACCTAACGGGTAACCCGAACGGGGGCTCCGGCTCGACATGCAGGAGAAGGAACGGGGTGTTTTTTAGTCAGTAAGAGTCTGACACTCCCTCCCGCCTCACCCAGGCGGGAGCAATCATTAGATAAAAAAAAAGACCATTGTGATTGCAATTATTTTTCATCTATAAATATTGTATTAGTTATCAATTGCGCTTTAGTAACAAATAAACATTATAATGCCATTTAATCTTCATATTACTGCACATGAACGTCACTGAATAGTGATATTGCGTGACTAAATCACGCCATAGAAATATGGGAACATTTTAGGGGACGAGATACTTGTGTAAATATAGTAAACTCCATACGAGAACGTCTCCAAAATGTCATCGATGCCAATGGGGGGACACTAGGTTTTAATTTTAAGTGGTTCAAATTTAATCATAATTGTAATTGATAAAAAATCATACCATGTTTTTTTTTATAAGACATTGATTTGATTATGAAAGTTTAAAATATTTTATTACTAGCGACCCGCCCCGGCTTCGCACGGGTGCAATATGTATATACATACAAACCTTCCTTAAGAATCACTCTATCTATTAAAAAAAACCGCATCAAAATCCGTTGCGTAGTTTTAGAGATCTAAGCATACATACGGACATACAGCGAAAGCGACTTTGTTTTATACTATGTATTGATGCTTGTGTATATTTGTAATTAAAACAAATAATAATTATCTGTTTTGATTTATCGAACCATTTAATTTAATTTTGTTGATAATAAAATATACATGTAATAATTTACATGTGCATGTGTCTACCTTATTTTACTACCAAACACACATACCTGCCGAAAAAAAAACACACACATATTAAACACAAAATGTCATTTCATTTTGTTCAGGGACTTTAGAGATGAAGAATGTTTTCCTTTTTTTACTATAACTTTGTTTAGCAACTTTTGAAAAGTAATGGTCACCTACTTATGCCCTTTTATGATAATCATTCAATTCTGGCGCTTGTCATGTTGAGCGATTTAGGTCTAATACGGTGTACAGCGATTATGAAATTTTAAATGTAGTCATCAACTTTTGATGCTGACTGTACCTACATTAAAATTACATCTATTATATAAAATTTAGATAGACGATTCATATCATCACCTGTTTCCTTGCCACCTCCCTCATCTTCCTAATCCCATTAGCCATGGACTCCACAGCCTTGTCATTGAGTAGGCACTCTTGCAGGTTCAACAGGATCTCATTCTCCATCTTTAGCTTATATTCCACCCTTCTGTCCAGTTCCTTCTCCGTGCTTTTCAATATATTTCGCATTGTTTGGTTCTCCTGGAAAATTAAGGGGCAATAGATTCTACTTTGAGTTTAAAAATAAATATTCATAAAATGATTTATTTGATTGCTTTTTTGAACCAAGACGAATTTGGAGAAGCGTCAATGCTTTGATTTCTTTAGTGTAAAATGGTGTTTGTTTTCTTTATTTTAGAGTCATATGGTGATGGCTACATACAGATTTAATCATCTCTTGATCCCGTTCTGTCATTTCTATAGACTCAGTCAATTCTTGGATTAGCGTTTCTAAGTTCTGCCGCTTAGCGTACTCCGTATCATCTGTAAAAAATAAACTTTGTACATCGCAGATTAGATCCGATAAAAGACTACTGACTACAGTTATTTCATTTACATTAGTAATCGCGGACCCATGGGTCGTGGCAAGTCTTTGAATCGCAGGATGCCATTGAATACGAATGGCTAGTTTGTGTTCGGCGTGGAGAACTAAGCATTAGGCAAACCCGTTGAACATTGGTAAAAACCTAACAATTCTAGTTATAGACAAGGTATAAATAAGGGCAGCAGATGTATTACAGAAGGTACTCACGAATTTTAGTAGCGTGTTCGATGTCGTAGATGAGCTTGTCCTTGTTGAGGGCTATCTCCTTGCCCTTGTTCATCTCCTCCATCACAACCTTCTTTGTGATGTCCAAAGAGTTTATTAGTGTGCGGTAGTTGTCTTGCAAAGTTCTGCGTGTTTTAAGAACACATTAAGTAGGTACAGGCATAATAAATTAAGGCTTTGTTATTTTTATTAGTTTACTCAGTTCGATTCAAAGTTTCACTGGCGCGTTGACTATAATATAGACAGTATGTAATAAAGATAGTTGTTAATATAATATAGACAGATTTACAAATATTTGTCTTTTTTATTAATTGCTGTTATTTTCATAAATGAGATATTCTTCGACGCTTGCTCGTGAGTTTCATAAAAACCCAATAAAAGCACACTAACTGGTAATCATCTCGGACGGAGTCGTAGACCTTGTCACGTTGCGTGATGTTTACAATGACGGAGTTCCACAGGGAGACCAGGCGACGTTTGTCCAGTTCCAAGTCTTCCAGTTCAGCTGCATATGCTGTCACCTGTCGAAAGAGAAAGTTTAATCTACATTGTTTTAAAGAAAAAATTATAGAAGAACCATTTTCAGACGCATTCCCAAAAAGAAAGTTACAAACAATCTTAAACTTTAAACAATTGCTTACAAACAATCTATAGCCTAGATTTAGTCATCACGAAACAAAATTTGAACCACCAAACTTGTCTTGCCATTTGTGAAACAAATTACAAATTCAAATTGTTTTTCCAAAAACAGTTTTGAAAACTTACTCTATCGTTAACTTTCTCCATCTCCGAGTTCTTGATCTCTAGTTGCTTCTTGAACATCTCCAGCTTCGACTCCAGCTTCCAGACCTCATTGCTCAACCCGAACAGAAACATATCCTGCGAGAAGCAGATAAAACGCCTTATGTGCCATTTTGTAATCAAATTGTGTACATTAAAGACTAAATAAATAAATAACATAACATAACATCACGCCTTTTATCCCCGAAGGGGTAGGCAGAGGTGTATATTACGGCACTTAATGCCACTGTACAATGTAACACCCACTTTTCAGTATTTATGTTATGAGTCCCATGTAATAGGGCCTATTGCCATATACCGGGCACAATTCCAGACTCCGTGCTACTGAGACTTTTTACAAGACAAGACAAACAAAAAATTGAAAAATAATTATGTTGTTTTATCTATCTTCTATTTATTACTGTGCGATCTAGAATTTGTAGTAACCACGTTTTGCTACGGGCCCCGCGCAAAAGGAAGACCAGTAATATCTTAACCTCCTATTCCGCCGTATCGTACCTACCTTTTGTGTAAAATTTAAAACATCGAGCTCACCTCAATACTGTTTACCTACCAAATCTAATCATGTGTGTATAAAATGCATGTGTATAACAAATCACCATCTATGCCCAATCATAGAACAAGTATTTGAATCAAGGTTCATCTTACCCTCTCGGCATGGACATGTTGCCACCTTGTTTTATTACTTTCTTTTATTTTTTTTGTTGTTTTATTTGTTTGTTCGTCTTGTATTTACTCATTTTTTCTGTGTATTTTTTTTATTATTTTTTCGTTCTTACCAGCCGTCTTTTCTCAGCAGCGATAGCTCGCTTCTCAGCCCTCATCTTGTCAGACATGCGCTGGCTGACAGTCAGGTCGGAGTCCGTCTCGTTCCGCCACGACTCCAACTGCTGGCACAACGCATTCAGTGCTTCCATCTCTTCCGTGGTTTCACGTTCTGGATACGTACAAAATATATGAATGAGGAAATGCGTGTTGTTAAAAGAATATTGTAACGTTTATGTGGTCTTCTTCTAAATCCCATTAGCATACTTTACACTCTTATTTGTATTACTCATATCAATATTTTGTTAGTTAAGAGGAACTTTAATATTTAATTCTTATCTAAAGATTTCAAAAAAATAAATCACCCTTTAAGTCATTGAAAAATACTATGACGTTATAAGTTTCGATTTAATAAAAAAAAATAATGAAAAAACTACATTTAAAAGAACCAACTTCAACCTCCTCTTTTTTGAAACCGGTTAAAAAACAAATTTTCGACATTTTGAAAAAAGTATTTATTTTGACTTGGTGGAACCTACATACCATATATAAAATAAACGGTAACTAATTAGCCAATTGATGGTTAAGGTCCAAATCAAACATCCGCCTACCTCTAATTATATCTTCATCCAGCTTTGCCTTTACTTTCTTATGAGCCTCCTGTGCCTCCCGGGCTCGCTTCTCAGCGGCTTCGCGTTCTAGCGTGCGCTGTGCTAGCGAGGCTTCGTACTCTTCTATAAGGATCTACATCAACGAATTATGATTAAATGTTTTCAAAGTAGGTTTTAATCTCACAGAATTAGCTATAGCAAGAACTACGATATATCTTAATACTTCCAATTAGAATCGTATTAGATACTTCAACTTAAATACTACGAAAGTTCTGAACTTAAATGTCACATAATATCTTATTTTAAGTAGCTGTAATGTTTAGTCACAACAGGTAGGTATGGATCAAGTAACATAAATTGTAAAACACGTATAATACATTAGCTACAAATATATTGATTCTCGTTTCCCGCTTCTCAAGCATTAGGGTACAACCATACAAGTTCGAAACCTGGTAAGTACCAATGTTACATTTTAAGTTTATTAATAGGTACTGTATCTACCCTTTGCGAGTTGGTGTCATGGTCACTCTTGTAGATGGCTTCCAAGTCCTTGTCATATTCCTGCTTTTGCTGCTTTAATTCTTCACGCTGTAAATATAAAGAACATTATTGTCAGTAATATTTTAATATTGAAAGAATGATTGACCTGGGCGCTTACTCTTGAATCCAATTCCGATCGATCGATATTGTGAAATTTCGTACTCTTGAGTTGCAACACTAGCGCCCATTGCATCCGTATTGCGTGGATATTTCATGAACTAAATAGTATTGAGTTTGGCTTTATAGTCTGAATGCTATTTTAACAGCTACTGTAAGGTTTGTATAGTTTTGACATTGCATAATTATTGAGATTTTATTGGATTGAAATTGCATTGATATTGGTTTCAAGAGTAGCATCCTGAACCTGATTAAGTTCTGTTTTAACTTTAAGTGAATCTATTAGAAAATAAAGTAAGTTAAGTACTTCAGGTTACGTAACAACGTTTAAATCTTCTAAAATCCAATTCGAATCAGTACTTAAAGCGTTTTCTTTTTTCATGGAATAAGCCGGTAAACGAGCCGACGGATCACCTGATGGTAGGCAATCGGCTTCACCCATGGACGCCTGGAACACCAGAGCCGTTACAAGTGCGCTACCAGCCTTTTATTCACGTCAGTTTTCATTGAGGCCGTGGTATCACTCCGGTCAAGCTGGCCCATTCGTGCCGAATCATGGCCCTCCCGCACTTAACAACTTTCTACCTAAATCAAGTGGATGTATTCACAAAATAGATTTCTCCATTATAAAACCAACTTACAAGGTTGAGAATCTGTTCTTCAGCGAGTGCGTTCTCCTTGATGAGGAACTGTTTGAGGGTCTCCTGGAACTTTTGCATCAGAGGATGCGTCGCCTCCAGCACCGCTGGCATCGCATCTATTCCGCGATTGCTGCGCCATCTGATGACGACAAAAACAAGTGAAAAAAATCTGGGTAATTTATTGTCGTCGTTAGTAAAACTGTAGATATAATATGTAATTATAGATTTCGAATCGAATAAGATTATCTTAATAGGCGAAGAGAAGTTTTGGTCTAAGTACATACATATCGCAGTTTAGAAATTGTCTCTGAAAATTAGAATGATAATAATAGAGATGCCCTTTTCCAGTGAGCAGCTTTATACATGTATATGCAGAAATGGGCAATTACATACTTAGTGCGATTTAATATTTAATAAATACAATATATATAGAAAATTTAAACGATTATAAAACTCAGATTCAATTAGATACGAACTCGTCATAAGCTTCTCGGCTGACCATATTGCAGCGGCACTGGTCGATGGGACACCCGCAGCATGGACAGTCCTCTGTCCCAGCCGTCGCCGGGTCACATTCACAGGTCGGATCCTGGAGACATAATTATTATATATACATAATTATAGTGGCTGTTACGGTCACTCATGTTAATTGAATGGCCTCGTTGGTGGACTTGGGTAAAGTGTTGTTGGAATCTTCGTTTCGTTAGTCGGCAACAGGCTGGGGCTCAGGCTCATCATATCAACCACAACACGTCCACCACTGAGCATAGCCCCCTCCCTATTATTGACTAATAGGCTCAATTTATAATAGATTGGATTGAAGACATAACTGGTGAAATGATCCAATTAAGTTATTATGAAAAAAAACTAACACGATAGAAAGTGATCTTCTCGCTCCTGAACAAGAGACATGTTTCCTCGTGGATGACGATATCGTGCTCATCCCGAGGACACTCGCAGTGCAAGCTGACCAAGGATTCTTCAGTTGTACTCTCCTCCGTACACACACACGGCATAGAATCCGATTTTGCCGACATCTCGGCTGCTTTAACTTTATAAGCTATTAAAAAACAATGTAGAATTAAAGATAATATTTGAAGCACCCGATTGAAAATGAAAATTGATAATCAAAAAATTGTCAGCGAAATCAACAGTTTATTTGTTGCTAGACAACGGTTTTTTTTTCATAATTTTATTCGGCTTTGTCTGTGGTTGGACATTATAAGATCGCACCTCTTTGGTCGATGTCGTTACTATGGCAACGCGTTGTCAACAAAAGCGCGGGATCGTTGCGAAGTAAACAAGTAAATTGAAGAAAATAAAATAAATATGGTAAGCATTTAAAAATAGGTGCTATAATATTTATTTAAAAGTTAAATCGGTAATTAACATTGTTCTATTAAGTGTAATTGTAAATATTTCTTTAGAAATGACGAGTGTTATAAGTATTTTTGTTTTCATTTCAATCAAAGTCACAGTTTATTATTTCATGAGTAGAGACTTCATTAATTTCTAGTATCACATGCGTAGATCCTATCAAGATCAAAGCCAGCTACGGAGACCCGTACAAACACTGGCAGCAATTCTGCTAAGAAAAGCTTTCCAGAGTTGGAGGACTTTCTGCTGAAGAGGGATTATGTCGGCGCACTCACTATGCTTGAGGTAAGCAGTACCCTCCCCAAATAATATTTTATAAGATTTTGGTACCTAACTTGCGTCCTGTTTTAAACAAATACGGAGGGTGGACTATAGTTACCTATAACATAGGCCTAGCGACTAGCGTAATCTAGAATTGCTAATATAGTATCCTTGTTCAAGAAGAACCCGATTATAACCCATAATAATTAATCGATTTAAAAAGCGCTAACTTTTTATTATTTTTTGTTGCCCTAGTTCCTCAAACACGAGGGCAACGCAGAAGTGTGGCCGGACGTGTGGAGTGCGTGGTGTTGGTTCCACCTGGGCGAATACCGCCGCGCTCTGGACGTCTACCTGCGCGTGCGCACGCGGGACAATCTAGATGCGCGCGTCTCCGACTACATAGCTATGGATGTGGCTGTTTGCTATTTTTATTTAGGTTCTAATTTTATTCATTTTGCTTTAGTCTCTTGTTAGCGATGAAATTATTGCTAATTTTTGAATAAAGGCAAAAGTTATCTTTGTTCTTATACAAAGACAAATGATTTAAAAACAAATCCTATACGACAATTGATTTTCAGGTATGTACCAGGAATCACAAGAAGCTGTGGAGGAAGCACCGAAATGTTCGTTGAAGGTAAGTAAACACAATTAAATTATTATTTATTAGTATTCGTATATAGCAAACTGCAGTTGTAGTGGGCGGGACAAATAGCTCGAAGAATCAACGGCCGATGGGGCAGAAAGATTTACGAATGTAAGCCATGTACACGTCCGTAGCTCGTAGGTCGTAGGACGTCCACCGATATGGTGGATAGACGACCTAATAAAGGAAGCTGCTGACTGATCATGCAACCCCCAGATCTGGAAGTCTTTAGACGACACCTATTCAGCAATGGACACTTGGATCTAATGTGACCAATACGTCTTGTGGCAAATTTAATTAGAGTCTAGAACGAGCACCTAGCTTCACTGACATCCAGACTGACGGACATTTCAATTTTGACGTTTCAAAAGTGAGCATTAAGGATTAATAAAAAGAAATGCTGTTGATTTTGACTATGACTTCCCCAATCCTTATTGCAGACTCGCCTCCTTTTCCACCTGGCACACAAGCTTGGTGACGAGGAGTCTCTGATGAAGGCCCATGCGACATTACGAGATGTGCCTGAGGACCAGCTGTGCCTGGCCTCAGTCCACTACTTGAGGGCACATTATCAGGAGGCCATTGATGTGTATAAAAAGCTCTTGCTGGATAGACGGTAAGTTGAGAAATACATAGTATATCTAATAGCCTATGTTTTTATGAACGATTTTGTAGGTATTTTATGTCTCATTTTTATTGACAATTTTATTTCTACAATACTAAAAGCTTAGAAGAAAACCAAAGCCTGATACGCTCCTGCAAAGAAGTTCCATTAACAATAAAATAAGTTATTTAAAAATATTCCACGATTACAGATACAAAAAATTTGATAACGACGACATGGAGTGGATCAAAATGTTGTCCGCTACGGATGGGTAGGATTGTATCTACTATGTATTTAACATTTCTATAGCTAACGCGTAACCGGCGTAACCCTAGCTGTCGCATACCATACTTCTAACATTCGTTTACTTAAAGTACGTAACTTTGACTAGGTACTTTAGAAAAGTATGATCATCTAAAGACCAATTTATTATTCTTCATCTTTATTCCCATTTTAAAATGTAAACTGTAAACATATAATTGAAGTATTGAATTAGTCATATATATGTAGTTAAGCAAGCAGTATAGATAAGTTATGGTGGCTCGGAGGTTTTAGACGTCCGTTTCTCATGCATGAGAGTGCGGGTTCAAAACCTATCAACGGCAATTACCAATGTACAAATGTGACATTTTATTTTTACTTTCTAAGATTATTTAGACACCACTGACAAATTGTGAAAGAAAACATCGTAAGGAAACCTGGGCTCATAACTTCTAATTTTGGCAATACCAATTCTTCTACCATACTCTCATTTCCCATTCTTCTTCTTTCGTCACTCTAGCTCGTACATGGCACTGAACGTGTACGTGGCCCTCTGCTACTACAAGCTGGACTATTACGACGTGTCTCAAGAGGTGCTCGGGGTCTACCTCGCTCAGCATCCGACGTCCACCGTCGCGGGGAACTTGAAGGCGTGTAATCTGTTTAGGTAAATAAATCAGTTAGTTAATTATCTATATATATAAAAATGAAACCCGTTTCCCGTTACCACGCCATATTTTTTTTTGTTGTGTTTGTTATTGTTAGGAGAAGGTTCTTATGATAGAAAAAAAATCCTGAAAATCTTATGGGAACAGGATTGCGCGTACGAAGTCGCGGGCAAAAACTAGAGAAGCGATCATTTACAAATGTAGCTATGTTTGATATAAATTCAGTGGTATATATGTGAATGGAACATCTCTCCTATCTGGTCGGATTTCCGTCCCATCGATTTATGAAAATGTGTATGTTGTAGATAATATGCCTTACACAATGTTCTAGGCTTATTAAATAGATTGGCCACCATGATCGAAATCAACCAATTGTGTTTACTCCTCGAAAGAGATAGACCTCTGAGTTTGTTTCGGCATTTGTTGTAACGATTAATGTTATATATAAGTGTTACTGTACAAATTATAGTTAATAAACATTTATTTATTTATTTATTTATTTAATATTTCTTCTCAGAGTAGTCAGTTAGGAAATGTCGGCCTCATCGTTCGCTTGATAAAATTGACGTGTAAAAGTGCTGCCTTGTAGCCTATTTGCAGAAATCAATTCACTTGTTTCACTTGATGTTACCTTCCACTGCAGACTGTACAACGGTAAGGCAGCCGAGAATGAACTGAAACAGATGACGTCAGACCAGCACACTTTCGGACAAGATCTAGTCAAGCATAACCTGGTTGTGTTTAGGAATGGCGAAGGAGCGTTAAAGGTAACTGAAAATGCATATTTGACATAGCAAATATCAAAACATGGTGACGCTGCATTTAGACACGTGTTCTTACAAGCTTAAAATTAATTAATAATCCATAATTTCGTGTGACATCTTCTTTTGAGAAGAAGACACCTATAAAACATTTGGGTGGCTATAAAAACCCTTATTTTGCATAGGTGTTATAGCTTTCTGTTTCCTGTACCTTAACCATAAATGAAACCTGATTGCCTCGTTGGCCGAATGGTCGCAAGTGCGACTGCCAGGCAAAGGGTCCCGGATTCGATTCCGGGGACGGGCAAAATATTATTAGGTTTATAAAAAAATCTCAGTTGTAGCCCGAAGTTTAGAATAGTGCCTGGTATATGGCAATAGGCTCACCCCCTATTACATGGTACTCATAATTTAAATAGGGTAAAGCGGGTGTTACATTATTGGCTATGTGCACGACGGTGGCGACGCGTAGCGTTTACAACATTTGCGGAAGCTGAATATAAATAAAACCAAAGATTAAAATAGTATTGTGGGCATTATTTAAGTGCAATTTATTCAATAGTTTTGCTGTAAAATGCATATACCTAATAATAAAAACCGGGTTTGAAACTATTACACATAATATTAGTTTCCAACCACAAACTGAGACAAAAGGCAATAAATTAGTATTAGCCGAGCATGTAAGCAACGTGGAAGAACTGCGACATAACGGCCAGAGCTACTTAATATGAGCTATGGTCCATTTCTTTGCTTTGATTTTGTACTGCAATCAACACATTTGACAGCTGATCATCCCCATTTGTTTCCAATTTCTGCCGTGTTGTGCGCTGCAGTCGTTATCTGTCCGCCACTACTCGCTTTGCACATAGCCAATACAATGGCATTAAGTGCCGTAATATGCGCCTGCCCACCCCTTTCGCTCTGCCCGACTTCAGGGATAAAAAGGTCTGAAACCTAACTCAAAATATAACGCCTACCGTAACTCATGATTGTGACTAACTAAGGACACAGAAGGAACCCACACAACTCTTTACAATTCCCTATAAGGTTTTACCAGAGCTAGTAGACGTGGTACCGGAAGCTCGTCTAAATCTAGCAGGCTATAGACTTCGGAACAGGGAGCCGATAGAAGCCAGGACTCTGCTGGAACCGCTACAGCCCACCTCGCCGCTACACTACATCCTCAGAGCCGTGGTCGCCGTAAAGCTGTATAATGATACTGGAGATGTAAGTATATTTTTAACTGTAACAGCTCTACTACCCGCGACTTCGTACGAGCAATCCCGTTTTATTCCGACCCCGTTAGCAATTTTCGGTAAAAAGTAAAAACGTATTGGATAAACGTATCCTATGTCCCTCTCCTGGTTCTCCTCCCCACCAATTTTTGAGTTATAAATAGTGTAACTAACACGACTTTCTTTTATATTATACTAGCTTTCTCGCGATTTCGTACGCGCAATCCCATTTTCCCCCTGTTCCCGTTCGTGATTTTCGGTAAAAAGTAAAAAAAAGTATTGAATAAAAAGTATCCTTTACCCGTCTCCTGGTTCTAAGCTACCTCCCCGCCAATTTTCATCCAAATTGATTTAGTCGTTCTGGATTATAAATATTAACTAACGTGACTTTCTTTTATATTTTATATAAATAGATTCTCTTAACTGACTTGGTGACTATCTAATTGTTGGATGGTTTGGATTTAAATTATTCATTGTGCTATTGGCATTGGCTATAAAAACACTTTTTCCTAGAAAGAGAAGGAAGTTACTTCAGACTAAATCTCTAGACTCTATAAACTTTCGGATAGTTTTGAAACAAGGAATTTAACATTCGTTTTTCACTCTTCTTGTATTACCTACCAACTCATGACGTCAGCATCGGAGGGCCTAACGGGTTACCGGGGCTCCGGCTCGAAGAGCAGGAGTAGCAACGGGGTGGTTTATAGTCAGTAAGAGCCTGACACTCGCTCTCGCCTAACCGAAGGCGGAAGAAGTCATTGGATGATTTCCCCCCTCAAAAAAAATCGTCATGATGTCACAACAACTGCGATTTCAAATTAATACTGCGATAAGTAACTCACTCATATTCGTATTTATGTTCATACACACTTATAGAGCAGTTTAGTCTTAGAGTTTAATTATTATAAAGTACGTTTAATAATACCTCACTTCAACCCCCTCTTGTTTAGAAGTCGGTTAATTAACACGTTAAACGCCATGGCAGTCACTGGTGACCGACATTAGCGGAGGATTTGCCTTCAACAGTTTTTTATTGGCAGCCAATGCCTTAATGTATTAAAACCTTCTCCAAAGTATAACAAATACTTTTATCAATACCGCTTCATAATCAGTTCAGCCAATCCCGAGATTGTCGCACACAAACACATAGGTCAATCTGATATTTTTTTTTTCTTTTTGAAGTCTGTTTAAAATCGTTCCATAAAGATTTACTAGCTTGTCCTTTCTTTGTTTCCCACTATTTGAACCTTTGTCTATTTCTCTAGGACGAACAACTAAAACTGGCTCAGCAGAGCTTCCACTTGGTGGGCAGTTCAGCATCAGAATGTGACACGATCCCTGGTCGTCAATGCATGGCCTCCTCATACTTCCTGGCGGGTCATTATGAGGAAGTTCTAGTTTATCTCAACTCCATCAAGAGCTTCTTTGTCAATGATGATACCTTCAACTTCAACTACGCACAGGTAAGCATCAAAAATAACCTTTATTGCTGTACTGTTATAGTGGGAATTCAAGGAGAAAAATAAAATCTGATCATCCCACAATGATAGCCGATTCCACAATCCATATGTCGACAACCTTATGATTATTATCACGCTGTACTACAGACTCAATAAATGTCGTGATCCTGAATTACGATCCAAATATCACGATAAATATCGAGCGTGTAGCATTCGCCATAGCATAAGATTTATCGGTTTTTAAAAAATAAGTCAATTGTACTTACCAGGCTAAAGTAGCAACCGGTTTCTATCGCGAAGCTGAAGAGAGTCTGCTTTCAATACAAGACGAGGGCATCCGCAACTCCTTCACGTTCCTTGCGTGTCTCTGCCGCTGCCACGTCATGAACAAGGACGCTGCTCTCGCATGGGATATTTGTGTCAAGGTAATTCAATCTTTACAATAGGAGTAAAGTCATTCAATTATTCATTGTTATTCTTAAGTCATTAACAATTTTAAAATCTGTGCTACAATTTACCGCTAAGAATTTGAATTGGACAATACGGAACTCAAAGAGAACTTCAGATTTCCTCAAGACACTTCCGAAATTGTATTCCATAACATAAAAGATTAAGATACATTCACAAAAAAATACAAACGTTAAATGATTTTATAATTTATTAATTTTACAAAATCAGTTCACGTATCATGTCTATCCAAGTCCTAAATGTTTCGTATTTGGTTGACAGTCGGCGGGCACTCCCGACAGCTTCGCGTTGTTGCAACTGGTTGCTAACGACAGCTACCGCATGGGACAGTTTCTAGTCGCCGCCAAAGCCTTCCACATGCTTGACAGGTGAGGCCAATTATCACAGATCACTTACTATACTACTAACCTGATTAGATTTATGGATGAATGTTTTAATAAGTAAGTAAACTTCATTCAAAGCAATATTTTTATGATCTATAAGATAAGTAAGGGTTCAATTCCTACTACTATAGATTTGGAAAATTAAGTTTCGTAGTGTTTACCTCAGCTTTTGTAACTAAGGCAACATGCTTTACATAAATCAATAAGTCGATTATGTTTCATCACATCAATTAGGTTGGACGGAGGTCCAGAGATGTGGGAAGGACTTCGCGGAGCAGTCTGTGGCTGCGCTCAGGCCGCCGCGGCCAACAGGCCTAACGCTGCAGCTGAGCTCAGGGACGCCCTCGCCTTACTGAAGGGTCCAAGGTCACATACCCGTGCAGACAATATAGTCAGGACCATCACAAAATGGGCGCAACAAAACAGGATCCCCGTCTGACCGGAAACCAAGACCTGCAAAGTATCGTAATATTTAGATCCTAATAATATGTAGTAAGAAAGTAGCTTGGGCACGTGCGATAATATACAATCTCTTTTGTAAAATATAGCTAAATAAATGAATAGTTTTACGAAGCTATATAGTTACTACGACTAGTTCAATAAATTATTTAAACTGTTTAATAACTGGTTTCTTTACGGAGTACCGCAAGGACCCATATTAGGGCCAATACTAACTTCTGAACTTTTGAACCGGAAACTATATTTTAAATTCCGTACTACTCTGCTTAATATAAAATAGACGATGGACTTAGTTCAAATTTATATTGCAAGGCATGATAGTGGGCGACACATCCGATACCAAATAAACATTTCACATGAACACTTTTGAACGGCATTCGTCAGACTTGACCAAGTTATTACTGAGATATCAACGTAATTACTGAACGAGTTCTCGCACTCAATGATTCATGGCGTACTAAAAACTTACATTCTATGACATACAGGATCTCCAGTACTAGCGTGGAACCAGTATTCATACATATTCGTACGTTTGTCCCTATTTAGAAGTTACATTGAATATTGATTATTGCCGCAAATTGCAAGCTGGGCCCAATGTTATTTCTTAATCCTAGACACGTATCCTCTAGATATGGTCTCGCACGGTCTAGATCTAGAAACTTAATCTACTACTTCCTTTTAATTATCTAAACTGTTGACGCGTTATCCTTAATGGGGTATGTCAAACTTGTCAGGTTTAATTGTAATTACGGTGTTTATGAAGGAGCGTTAATACTTACTTGGTAAATTAGAGACAATATGCGGTTCGATATCAACCTGTAAACCGTTGCCATTCCTGAAGATACCGCTTCAAAAAAGTACTAAACTAAATTTTTATTTAATGGGGTTATAATTTCATTTTCTTCTTTGGCAACCGAGTCTTCAAGATACCGGGATATAATTTATGTTTGTCGTCATCACTGTTACTGAACAATTTTCAATAATTACTTATTCCCCAACCAACTACCCCAAGATAATCTACTGGCATTCATATTTTATTATAGGTATACGTTACTCATAAGGAACCTACTTCATTAGTGTCAATTTACGTGGCGAGTTGTGTATGCCCTTTACGCACGTACGTGTCCGTTTCCGCGTCTGCCCAAGTAATGCCCAAGTTTGAAGTTATCAAGACTACTTTTTGACATATTAGGTGTATGCTAAAATTCAGACTAGGACATATATAATCTATCTCCGTCCCTTCATCCAAATCCGACTAGTCTAGCCTGTCTATTTATTGATGCATTACTTATACTTTTAATTACTTTATTCCTTTAGTTGCGCTGTAGGGATTACTACGTGAACGACTGTGGCGCCCTCATTTATTTTCATGATTAAATGGACAAGTTGTACTTAGTTTTTCATTATAGTGTTACAGACTTACAAACATAGGTCCATACATCGTAAGGTATATCCATACATCGTAAAAAACTTTTGCATTAAAAAATAATAGTAAGATGGTAGGATAGAAGACGTAGATATTTAGAAACGTATACCACGTAAATTTATAGTATTTAGTTAAACCTATAGAGAAGTAATCCAGAGAAAAGTCCATGGGCGGCGCTGATCGCTTACCATCAGGTGATCCGTCTACTCGTTTGTCTCCTATTCCATAAAAAAAGCAATCTCCATTATTCGATATTGTATTTTTTATTCGTATTTCACGTAATATGTATAAATAAATATGAAAGTAACATATAAAGTAAATCTGATCCAATTAATATAAAATTATGAACCTAAAGCATCACTGTTATAATATCACTCATTCACCCATAAATATTTTTATTTTTGCCGCGCTTTTTTTGTTTCGGCACCACATTGAACTCTGAATTGACAATTAATATCAATAAGGAGGCTGGGGGCACCTTGCGAGCCTAGGCATTTTTTGTACAATGATTGAATCTATAAGTATCTCTCTCTCAATATACCATAGGATCTTGATTTTTCTCGGAAATCTCTCTAAAACTGGTCTACTCTAAATGGTTACCATCTTTCTATGTCTCTGCCAAGTCTAGCCAAAACAAGATAGGTGAGTTATAAGTACAGGTTTAATCATTGACGATTTCAACATACTACAGCGTTTCCGCTGACTTACCTTTAACTAATTAGAAGTCAAACATGCTTCATAAATAGTAAGTAGGTACCCATATATTTACCTATTACATTTAATAGGAACATTCGTTTGAAAAATGTAAGTAAGTATTCCGTATGTTTTATAGACCGCCGTTGTTAGTGGGTAGGTGCATTTGATAGCACATTAAGCCCCAAAAGTCGTCGCGGAGAACCTAACGGGTAACCGGGGCTCCGGCTCGACGTGCAGGAGAAGGAACGGGGTGGTTTTTAGTCAGTAAGAGTCTGACACTCCCTCCCGCCTCACCCAAGCGGGAGCAGTCATTCAATGATTTTCCCCCCTTAAAAAAAAGGCCCCAAAAGTTAAACTTTACTATTTCGTAACAAAGTTGAATATTTATTAAATTAATTTAATAGATTAGCGTAGCTGGATAAGTGAGAACAGAAATCGATCTGTCGGTAGTACCGAATACTACTCAATTGAGTAAATTCCTTAATAAAAACAACTGCGTTTAAAAAAAACTAAATATAACGAAAAGTAAAAACTAAAAAGCAAAAAATAACTATTATTGGTCATACGTATGTATAGCTTTCACACCTACTGATAGGTGAGAAGTCGATGCCACAAGTTTTACACAAAAATTATTCATTAAAACCTTAATAGATACCTAACATTATTAAGCTATTTACAAATTTATTAGGTATGGATTATATCTGATCTGTGACCATTAATTACCTAAGATATATTTTGTTATGGGATAGGTTTTGGGTTGATGGCTTCTCAGTTCTCAGGGTAATGAAAGTAAAGGAAAGACAAGAAATACTGCAAAAATTGCATTTATTTATAAAAACTAAATTATATTTACATGTACGTAAATAATACGATGCGTCAAGATCAGGTCCGTAGGCAACAGTCAAAGCAGTACAATAAATAATAAGTTACAATCGACAGGCGAGGTCATCGGGCGCCCACTCCTGCTGAACGAAACCCACTCTTACAGACACGGGCCGGACAGTAAAGACGAGGAAAACTACAAAATAGGGCACTCTCCCTCAAATTCCAAAACGCCCAATGTTACATTTTGACGTTTGAGCCCAAAACAAAAATTCTAGACTTCTACAAAAGTTAAGTTACTAGCACGTTACTATTCGCCTTTACCATGTAGCCGCGGCCTATGATTTCTAACCAAACTACGTAATAAGGCACAATCTCAGTCAAAAATCATTAATTTATCGTTATAACCATTTTTCATAAACTCTCAACACTAGAGTTGAAATTCTGTCATATCCTTACACAATTCTCTGATCGTTCAGCAAGACATTAGGTCGCTTAGCAGTCGTAGTTGATGGGTTTAACCCCACGGGTGGGCAACGCCAACGTGGGCAGCTGGCAGCGTGTACCGCGCGACTGGTGCGGCCACCGCAACCGGCGCAGGCGCGGCGTATACCTTCGCAACTGGAGCTGCAACTGCTACTGGTGCTGCCACCTAAAGAAAATTGTACGTTCTTAAAATACATAGAAAATGTGGATCTTGGTTATTCCCCTTTGAAGTGGAATAAAAAGAAAGTAGCAATAAACAGCAGCAATTTGTATTTTTCTACATTTCTATATAACGAAATTATTGTTTTATGTAGTTATAGAACTTATAAAGAGCCCTGCCTTACCGCAGAGAGATCGTGAGTATATTGCCAATAGTAGGTTACGGTATGGAGCAAGAGTTGGAACGGAGTGGTGTTTAGTCAGTAAGAGTCTGACACTATCTCGCCTCTTCGGGGCGGGAGGTGTCATTTGATAATTTTCATCCTTACAAAAAAAAACCCTTACCGCGTGGGCAGCAGCTCCCGTCCTCTCAACCACGGCGTTGAATCCGTTGATCTTGTCAGCTGTGTATGTGACCTTACGGACGTGGCCGTCAGGTTCCACTAGGCTGTAAGAACCGTGCACCACTCCATTCTGCAGCGTCTCCGCAGCATCCTTGTGGTCTCCAGTGGCAGGGTCTGCTACTCCGTATGAGAAGCTGTACGCTGGGTTGGGGTCTACAGGCTCAGCGCGCACAATCTATGTTAAAATAAACGAAATGTTATTAACAAATTCAAAGTTGAGTATAAGTTGAAATTGCCATTTCCGACAAGTATGCAAATATTTTAAAGAAAACATATCGGATATTTGTTAATGAGCTTAACTAGTTGGATGGTAGATTGTATCCGCCAAAACTAGAAGGCAGCTAGACCAGAAGGAATCCTACAAGCGAATTGGCGAAGAAACAAATAATGATCCTAAAAGTTGCTTGACGAAAGCTTGACGAAACATTATAGATAAGAACATTCATCGTTAAATAAACCATCAAATGTGTTTCATTCTACGTAGAATAGTTAAATAATAAGCTTAGATTAAGTATCTGTGAACAAAATGGAAATAAATATATTTGTTTTATTCTCACCGGAGCTGCAACAGCTTTGACGACGGGTGCAGCGTATGTGTGTGCGATGGCGGGAGCGTACGCTGGTGCTGCCACGGCATGAGCGATCGCTGGCGCAGCATAAGCTGGCGCATATGCTTGTGCGGCGTACGCTGGCGCGGCATACGCTGGTGCAGCGTATGCTGGTGCCGCGTAGCCGATGCCGTCCAGTATCCCCGGCTTTGCCAGGGCACCGGCACACGCACAGCATAACAATAACAACTAAAGAAAATTAAAGGAGTACAGATATTAAAATTAATGCCAATCACGTAAGTTCCTTAATTCGAATTACTAATGCTAATTCCCTAGGTATGTATCCCTAGGGGTGCATAATATAACTGATGAAAAATAAGTGGTATATAACTCTGCAAAAAATATGTTTAAGTTATTTTTTATAAAGACCTACTAATTCTGTGAGTTTATTTTTTACTTAGAAAAGTTCCTTCGGCCTTTTGAAACTATTAGTATCATTCTGCTTCTTGATTTTTTTAACAAAAACAATATTGTGGTACCAAGCAAGCAAGAGAATTTCTCTTAAAACCCAACTATTTCTTTTACTGTAGTGTACAAATATTTCTTGTCTGATTGTAAAGACCTTTAGCTGTATCCCCTTACAGAATTCAGTGCTTAGGGAAGCTTTATGACCTGTGTCTCTAGTCAGTGTGTCTAGATTTGTGACAATTCTCTTCAACGTAAAATGATTTTCGCAGATTTAGTTTAACAAAGTGATATTATTATATAAATAGTTTGTTTACCTTAGCGAGCATGTTAGTGGCGTGCGCACGTCGTGGGGTGTATTGCACGTGTGTCGCTCCCCGCCAGCGCGCCGTATATAAAGCGGCTCGGAGGCTGCGCCTGCGCACCGGACCACGCACGATCTACACTTGATACAAATTTCGCAACAAGGATACTAACATATGTGTATAACATGGCTAAAGGCTAGTTATGCTTAATTATTAGTTTAGGAGAGTCGTTGAACTAGATCTAGGTATAGTGCGCTAGTAGACGCTAATGTTCTCATGATTATGTTACATGGACATATTTTAAAGCGCAGCTGCTAATCAGGTTCAAATTATCCGAACCAAACAACAGACGCAGATTGTTTAACCTGGACGATTTGGAAGTCATTGCGGGTAGCCTATGTTCAGAAATGGACAGTTGGATAAAACAGATCGCTTCATTCAACAAATATTGCCGAATTACGTAGGAAGTGATTTACGGAATCTTTTTGCCTTTTAGAGAGTTTTAAACATACGACTAGCCTGCTGACACTAAATAAAAGAGAACCTTTAAATGTCAAAATCCTATTATCACTTCTTTCTTAACACCACGGACACACCTTTATCTCCCGAGCGGGTCCGCACGTCGGATACCGGGCGCGTCTCAAAGAGCCATCAGACCACACGGATGGGGCCCGATAGGGCTGATGCCGATACGGAGCCGCGGGGAACGTAAAAGGTTACCGGGGCTCCGGCTCGAAGTACAGGAGTAGGAACGGGGTGGTTTTTAGTCAGTAAGAGTCTGACTCGTCAGTCCGTCAGTTATTTCTGTTCCTCATAACATGGACTGACGAGATAACACACATAGCAGGAAACGACTGGATAAAGTTAGGCAGGGACAGGGAGTCGTGGAAGAGGATGGAGGAGACCTTCACCCAATCAGGGGTCCATATTTCATAGTACTAACACACTAATATCAATTATAAATTTATTAAATGAATATGCAAATATACTAACATGAACTAAAATACATAATATACTTATTGTAATTGCAACACTGTAAGAAATATGGAAATAAAAAAGTTTGTTATTATTATTATTATAAGAGTTTGACACTGTGAGGCGGGAGGGCCGCCTCACCCAGGCGGTAGAAGTCATTCGATGATTTTACTCCCTTAAAAAAATCTTAAACCCCTCAATTACATTATAGTCACTTATTATTATTCCTCACAATATTTTGTGATTACGTCATTGACACCCAACAACACCGGACAACGCTCATAACTCAATAAGCATGTCCTTTACATGAAAAACTTAATCAGCATAGTACTACGTTTTTGGTATCCATGAAACATTAATCCGGTACAGATTAGCGCATTAAACTGTCAAACACCAAGCGGTCACCGGTGACCGCAACCTATTGTTCTATAATGGTGTCTACAAAACCGGTACTCGACGAGTTAATATTATGTGGCCAAACAGCTTCATGAATCTAGTTGACAAGTAAACTGCTAAGAAAATAACGCAACGTAGTACCTAACTTCCTAAAACCGAAAGTTCTAAAAACTGATGCAAGAAACGCGAAGGTTTGCACAAAGTTATCAGTTCTTGTATCATTATGGTCCGTTATGGAGACTTGGGCTTGGCATAACTCGATTTTAACATATATGAGTCAATCTACTTACATGTAGTGTAATATTATATGCTCTATTTTACACTTCGTTTAAATAGTTACGTCTAGTAGCTGACTGCAATTTAATAGTGCTGGGTCTGATTCGAGAATCGATTGCTTCGAACTCTTTGCTCGGTTGTCGTCTCATGATTATATCCTAGCAAATACGACAAATGACTCATCTGAAATGCAACCGTTTTTGTTGTTCGTAGTTTTTATGAAGCGACTTAGTGACAGGCACGGAGGTCCAAATTCGATTCCAGTCAATCAGTGCATTACAATTATACAACAAGCGATATCAACGGTAATTTTGAACCTTTTATCTATTTTCCCACAGTCCATTTTTAGATGTACTGCCAATTTCAATAACCTATTTCAATCCAAAATACCCCCTTCCCCAATATCCTCAATCCTCGAATCCCCAACAATCGTCAAATTCCTAATCCCCAAAGGGCCGGTAAAACACTTGTAACACCTCTGGTGTTTCGGGTGTCCATGGGCGGCGCTGATTGTCGATTGCTTACCATAGTTAACCATCAGGTGATCCATCTGCTCGTATACCGGCTTCTTCCATAAAAAAGTCTACTATCTGTTCTAACACTTTGTGAGTCACGAGTCACACAGTCTATGTGGGTGTTATAATTCGATTATACTTGCCGATACTAACAATTTATGGAACACTAATGCATACAAACTAAATGCAACTTACGACCAATACAATTTATTTAATGAGGTCACGTTAGGTACTTGATTAGGAAATTCGTTCGTTAGTCATCCGATTATGGTGTGGGGGTTCTCCCGGATATTATAAAAAGTATAAAGTATTATTTAAACCTTAGAGTTTCTTTAAACCTTGGCGCCGTCTTTTTTTCTTTTGTAATTTTGTCCGGTATCGTAAGTGCATAAACAGACATGTATTCTCTTTCATTCATTACATACTCAGATTCGGAACAACATTTTGTGCAAGAATTGAACCCGTGCCACGTTGCACGGTCGTCCAATCACTGCGCCAACTGTAGGTACAGTCAGTTTGGTATAGTGTCATCATACTCGAGAACCGTTAATATAGCTGCTGAAAATTGTATAAAAAATACATAAGGACTCACTACACAAAACTGCGATGCGACGTCGCAAAAATGTGCGAGCTCCCTCTACGCATTACAGGAACTTGCGAATTGATTCGCATATATCGCGCATCAAAACCTTATCTTCCAAAAATCTTTGTTTCTTTTTCCTGTATCTCCTAAGCAATTTAACAAAAGTGCACACTTCTTTTTACGATCCATGTCACGACCTAATTTGCAATTTAAAATTTGTGGATGAAGGATTTTTCGATGAAGGAATGGGCATCCTGGGAGACGCCTTGTCGCACGAAATCGCATCGCAGCAATTCGTGTGTTATTTTCTGCGTTGCGAATTCGTATGGCATCGCATCGCAGTTTTTTGTACGAGCCCTAACACGTGTTTCGCCCTCGACCGTCGTGCTTCGGTGAACAGGAACAGTTTTGAAATGGCACAGTATTGACACCTGAACATAACCACATCCACTTTATGATCTCAGTCTCGCTTAATATTACATCAGACTGTAAAAGGCGATCGAACAACCTGGCCCTAACAAAGATATTAGCTTGGGTTTAGCTGTAGTCAAATTGCATCAGATAGGTTTCTGGCTCGAATGAAATTAAGATTTCTTTTTGTTTTCAAATAAGTAGGTATGTCCCTATCTTTTAAAAATATCGGGACAAACTGCCTGCGTCGTACAAAAATATTTTGAACTTAAAATGTCAACTACGGTAAAACGGAGTGAATATAATGTGGTGAATAAGTATTAGAACATTTTCTCAATTTATCTGTTCACCCCTTGAATTCTATTCACCATAGATAATGCTATTCACCCCGTCACGTTTTACCGTACAGTATTTCCTTTAAAGTACCTAGGTTTTATGTAGTTTCATGTAAAGCAGGTACGTAGCAACCTACTCTTTTTGAAAATTTTGGCAACGTAGGTAGGTATTTAAAACAGTTAAGATTATTCTGGTGTTGCGTCTGCATTGGCGGCGCTTATCGCTTACCATCAGGTGATCTGTCCGATCGATTGCCCCTTATCCAGTCGGACAAACACTTACTAGCCTTTGATCTGTACAACTAAAACAATTTGTATATCTAACATATCTGTCATATTTCATTAGGTACTTAGGTAGACGACCTAATAGTCCTGACGGACCTAGAGCCAATGACATAACGATTAAGACCTAGATACATAACTGACCAATAACAATGTCAAGCCGTATTCGAGCAAATAATGTCGTTTCGTTTACCGAGCTATTTGTGGTTTTAAACAAAGAATATAATATGAAGTCGGATACAACTAGGGTTGCCACCTTTTTTGGTATTTAAAGTACATTGACGATTATATGTAGATGAGAAAAAGAGTACACAGTACAAAAATAAAGTACAATTTATTCTTTTTTATATTTAAAAATATATTTTTTTTTTGCTTTTTGCAGTTTGTATTAAATTAGTATCTTTACTAAACAATTACATTGAAATACGAAACAATTGCATCTTTATTAGAAATTGCCTAAGTGATGTAATCGATTCAATATATCTCGATAAATTAATATATTGATATAGAATCGATAAGTTTACCGAAAAATACTTACGACTTTAATAGAAATAAAGTTTGCAAAAATAAAGTATTTTCGTGTACTTTAAAGTATAGAGTACAATTACCTTAAATAACGCACAATACTATATTATAAAGTACGGGTGACAACCCTAGATACAAAAGTATGTGGTTCCACTTTAAGCGTTAAAACCACTTTTACTGAAAATTTTATATAGGTTCTAATTTTATAGAATCTGGGTTTTATCAGTCAGATGTTTATCAATTTTCTTTGTCCTTGTTTATGCATATCATCATATATAGAAGGTGCAAAACGTATTGTATAAATATAATTATTTATCCTTGCAATGCAACTCTTCTGCAACTTCCCGCCGCTGCATTCTTCAAGATTTACAGTTACGCAATAGGTATTTTCTACAACGTAGAAGAAAAACAAACAAAGAATAATACAAGTAAAATTTATTTAGAAGAAAGAATGCGTACCTACATCTGCTTTCTAAAATAAAATAGAATTAAATTAAATTAATTAAAAGTAAAACACAATTTACGTTTACAACCTCGGGTCACTCACTGAAAAAACAAGAAAACAAAAAGACGAATTATATTAAAACTCTTTTGAAATATATATAAATAACAAATATTGATATGATTTTAACTACGTGAATACCAAAAAAAGTATACAAATTAATTAATAATGCTAATTAAAAGATCACTTTGGTTTCGACGACTTGGACAACGAGACTATAAGTAGGTAATTGTTTTCTTTAGGATTAGGATTTGCCAAAGTCGGTACGTAGTAAGTACATTTTTTATACCTATGATAGGCATAGGTTACCTGTAAGTCTTTTTTTAAGGGGGGAAAATCATCGAATGACTACTCCCGCCTGGGTGAGGCGGGAGGGAGTGTCAGACTCTTACTGACTAAAAACCACCCCGTTCCCTCTTCTGCACGTCGAGCCGTTAGGTTCTCCGCGACACCTGTAAGTCTAATATCACAAAATCATAGGCGAACCAAATCATTATCAAAATACCGTTGATGGAATTGTTATTAAGCAGAAAAAAATATTATAAGCCACGAAACCATAAATTAATTCAACAACTTCGTTCGAACTGCTTCCGAACTATATTTGCAGTTGGATTCCAGTTGAAATGCGGTCCGTCTGTCTAGAGCCTCAAATATCTACTTATTTCATTGCATAGGTACCTACATAAATATACCGTGTGTAAACAATGAAGTAGCGTAATTCTCTCGCTAACAATGAGGCTACAAGTACAACCCAAGTCCTAACCAGCCGTATAAGCCGTCAAACGGCAACACAGAAATGTAATTTGGCGTAATGTAGGTCACACTCTGCCACAACTATTCCGGTACGTATATCAAACATGTGCAAGCCAGTTTAAAATTCATATATAACCGCGCCCTTTTGCCAACACACGAACCTATATATAATTTAATATGTCGGTTAGAACAACCGTAGTGTTGCAAGGACATGCTACTACAGGGGTTTTGCGGGTTAAGCTGGTAAACTAGCAGTCAGATTACCTGATGGTAAGCAATCGGCGCCACCCATGTACATCCCAAAGGCCAGAAGATTGCCGGCTTTATGGGGATATTGAGGGATTAGGGAGAGGGGAGTAATTGGCCCTACGGTAACCGCACTCACACAACGCAAGCGTTGTTAATCGGCGTCGCCCATGGACACCCGGAACACTAGAAGTGTTACAAGTGCGTTATCGGCCTTTTAGAAATTTGAGGATTGTTCGGAATTCAGGGATTGGGGAGATTGAGGAGGCGGGAAGAGCAATTGGGACACCGGTAACCTCACTCACACAAGGAAACACAGGCAAGCGTTGTTTCACGTCGGTTTTCTGTGAAGTCGTGGTATCACTCCCACAGATCATTCTCTTATACCTGTCTCTCCCTTCTATATCCCTCTAAATTAAACCTATCAGACAACATTAACGCTAAAGGTTACGCTGAAGATTCCTAGTCCTAGTGCTAATAACAAATACCTAAAATTTTAAAAACGAAATGTAACTACGAGACTACGAAATGCAGTCGTGAGTGCCGCCGTACTTCCAAGGGAGGTCACCGTTTCTCATGACTTAGTTTTAGGTAGGAGATCACAAGAACCGTACTCCTGCGCATAAAATAGCAGCATATTTATGTATCATTTTGCATCCATAAAAGGAGAAGCAAGCTAGCTTACTTCTCTTAGAACATTAAACTACTCAATTTTAGTAAATTAATAATATGTCTCGCTTTCAACCCACTTATTAACGCTATTTCTTATCAAGTAACGCCTAATTTCATCCATGACTATCATGAGAATAGCGAAGGGGATTGCTAGAAAAAAGTCCCACCAAGACAACGGCTCGGTGCTAAACAGTTCATGGCACACTGGCCAGTATGAAACTAAAAGTGCTCCTAGTAAGTCTACAACGATACTGGCATTGAGAACATGATTTCTCATGCCTTTCTTAATAATTGAGACTCGTCTAGTTTTACAAATAATCACATCCGATATCTGTGTCCAGGCAACTGCTACAAAATAAGCTGTCTGCGCTTTCCTCTCAAGCCTTTTCCTATCTCTGTAATTCCATTCGCGACCTAATGTATCTTTTACTAAAATGCGTGTGTTCTCCCATTCGCTGCGTACAAAAATTAGACTTGATGGAAAGAATCCGTCCTGAGCAAAAATTATAAAGTAGGCATACATTGCCGAGAAGAATTGAATAAGTCCTACTTGAAAATATGCCATAAATAATAAAACACCATTCACGAGGTGATCAGTAAGTTTGCGAGGTGGAATAGACATGATATCTTCCTCGGATTCTTCATATGCTAAACTCATCGCAGGCAGAAGATCAGTTCCGACATTTATGACTATGATCAACATGAGAGTAATAGGTAATGGCAGGCCCAAACACGCATACAATACAAAAGGTGCCATCTCAGGTAAGTTGGAGGTGAGCGTATACGCAATGGTTTTTTTCAAATTGTCAAAGATTCGCCTGCCTTCTTGCACACCAAGCACGATAGAAGCGAAGTTATCATCCAACAGAATCATATCCGCAGCCTTTTTGGAGACTTCAGTACCGTTAATACCCATAGCGATGCCGATATCTGCTTTCTTCAAAGCCGGAGAATCGTTGACACCATCTCCGGTCACAGCCACTACATAACCTAGCAACTGATACGTTTCAACTATAAACAACTTTTGCTGAGGACTGGTTCTCGCGAATGTGATCTCTTGGTACCTTGTTTGCACTGCTTTCAAATCATTAACACTCATTTTACGAAGGTCGTCTCCAGTTATAACTGCAGCTTTAAACTGGCTTTTAATGTGCGGCGGTACATCAGCTAGATCTATGTGATGCTCGAACGCATAGTCATACGCTGTCGGCATTGAAATTGTGCCACACCTGCGAGAAATAGCCAGTGCAGTCACAGGATGGTCCCCAGTTACCATTATTACTTTAATTCCAGCTGATCGACACAAACCAATATATTTGTCAATATTTTGCCTCGGAGGATCTATCATTGATACTGCTCCAAGAAAAATGAGATCTTCCAGAGGAAAATTACGTGCCTGTGCATCGAATTTGTAACCTACTGGATATGATTCTACAGGCAACTTGAGATCGCAATATCCAATAACACGTTCGCCCATATTTGCGATCTTGATAAAATTAGCTTTTAATTCTTTTTTTAATTGTGGAGTGAGATTTTGTACGCCATCATCGGTGTGAACTTGTGAACAGTATTCTACGACGATTTCAGGTGCACCTTTCATTATTAAATAGTGAGTGTCAGTGTTTAACATACGATGAATAGTCACTTGATATTTGTAGGCTGAGCTAAATGGAATTTCTCCAACTTTTGGATTTTCTTCTCGAACTTGTGTAGCTGATCGGTTTGCTTCCATATACCGTAATATTGCGGCTTCGGAAGCGTCACCCAAAACTTTTCGTTTTTCTATTGGCATGTGCATTGTATCAAAAGTAAATGTAGCTTTTAAATTAAGACAAGCTGCTAAACATAATGTCGCATATGAAACATTTGTGACGTAATGATGGTCATCTTTGTCAATTATTTTGAAATTGGTGAATAAATGTGACACGTTCATTTGATTCTCGGTTAATGTACCAGTTTTGTCGGAACATATACATGACGTAGACCCCAAGGTTTCTACAGCTTGTAATGTTTTGGCCAGGCAGTTCTTTTTTTTCAGAGACTTGGCAGAAAGTGTCATGCAGACAGTCAAAGTTACAATCAATCCCTCGGGAACATTAGCTAGTATGATCCCCAGCATGTATTGAAGCGCAGACAGCATACTGTTCTGTATAAAATATACCATAAAAAAGAAAATTATACCGAAAACAAACGCCACGCCGCACAAAAGCTTAATGAAGTGTGTAATTTCTTTTGCAATAGGGGTTTCTTCTTTCGTCAACCCTGTTACGAGTCCAGCTATTTTTCCTATTTGAGTCATTTCTCCAGTTGCAATAACAATAGCTTTAGCAAACCCTTCAGTAATAGGACATCCAAAATACGCCATATTTTTTGATTCCATAGGATTCGAATGAGTACATTCAGGTCTATGTTTTATTGGCTCTGACTCTCCAGTCAATGATGACATGTCCGTGTTGAAATTAGTACAAGTAAGTATTCTCACATCGGCTGGCACTATATCTCCTCCACTCATTTCTACGATGTCACCAATCACCAGATCAACGTTGGGGATTGTTTTTTTAACACCTTCTCGAATAACTACAGCGTTGGGTGGCACTAGCTTCTCGAAACCACTCATAACCGCAGCATTCTTTGCTTCTTGATAAAATCCAAAGATACCAGTTCCAACAATAGTAGCTGCGATCACAGATCCCAAATAAAGATATTCTTTTGCAGAATGGGCTTCAGCTGACTCTTCTTCGCCGCTACCTGAATCACTGGACAAGAAGTACCCAATAAAATTCACTATTGCCGCAGTCCAAAGTACACACTGGAACCATCCAAATAAATTGTTGCGAAATAATGTCCAATAACTGGTGCCATGAAGTTCCTTCAGCTCGTTGGGGCCATAGCGTTCCAGGAGCTCGGCAGCGAAATTCTCCGTCAGTCCTGTGACCACGTTTGTGCGATATATATTTTCCAATTGCTCCGGTGTAAGGTAGTGATCTCCTGTGCAAGTTTCTTCCTTCAGAAGGGATATCTCGGAGACCTCGACATTACCGTGGGCGATAATGCTGGCGCGCCGGATACTCTTCAGGGAGGTCGTGCTAGACCGGCGCCCGTGTTTGTGGGGCATCTCGGAGGCTAAGGGTATCCCTGTCTTAACAGCGATGCTCGTACTACTATGTTAAGGTCTATGACAATTTACACAAACGTAATGTCGGTTACGTTTGGGTTTCCCCTATACTTATTACACTCTTTGGTTTGGGTTACGCAAATAATGACGGTAGAACTAACAGGTGACAATATGTCACTTAACATAAAATAACTCTAGAAGTTACTATTCTATGGACAAGTTGAAATAGGTTTTATTTAAATACTAGGTTGGGGCTACAGTTCCGTAACTTTAAATAAACATTAAATTACAGTTTGTCTATTTATTATTGAAAATCAATGAGGGCGCCACAGGTCGTAAGCACCAACCAAATAAAATCCAAAACTAACCTATAAATCATGTGAAATGTAAACCATCCTTATTTTAGCCATCAAATCGTTTATTTTATAAGTTTATCACTTCCGGAACATAAAACGTAAACAGTAATACGATTCCTACCCGTTCGTACTGGTCGAGCGAAACTAAAATCTTAATTTGATAAAAATTGTGCAGATTCTTGTTCTATTGTTCTTTTGCATGTTTAATACATTTCTTGTAAGTTTTATTCACTTAAATTCCAATCTACTACCTTTTTAACAAAAAACGATTCGCAAAACAAACTGATGACATTCAAAGTACTTTCATTGAATGTTGCCATAGTTTTAATGTTATTAGTTCCTCAATTTGTCGTCATTCCTATAGTTTGATGAGAAAAAACTTACACAAATGAGTTGTAGAACGCAACCCAATTAAAAGTTACGGCTGGACCATTAATGAATGCGACATAACCATAAGCCCATATACAGGACACAAAACCAATACAATAGGAAAAAAATTAATTTCTTATAAAAGATGGGAATGATAAAAAAATCATTCATCAGTATTTTAAACAAATAAATGAAACACGAACAATAATTTACAAAACGTGTTTTATTATTAAAAATACCTTTTCTACGAGAATATACAGTTGGTTACTTACAACAATTAATATTAATATGATTAGTTGAAGTTCTGATGAGGACAGTATTTACTTAAACTTATATAATAACAGTAGTAAACCGCTCGAGGATGCTTGTTAGTATTATGAGCTCCAATATGGCTAGAAACTAATCGAACATCCTCGAAGATTACGTAAGTAATATTTTTCAAGATAGTTATACAAAAATACTTGAATATACAACTTGTGTCGGAAAGGAATGATAATATTAAATCTTAATTCTGACTAAATTTGACTTATAATAAATAATACAATAATTTTCTGTTGCCATCTGTATTCTATTAGCAATGTTGATATGATAATATTATATTTAATTAATGGAGAAGTTGCTCCTTTGTTTTGTAGATAATAAATTAAAAATAGTTTCAGAATATTGACACTAATTAATTAACGGTTGATTTTTCAATCATCAGTTAATTCCTATCTGTAGAATAAAATTGAAATTCGACAGATATTAGTATGGAAGAATTGTCAAATATTAAAAGTTAATCCTCTGATAAAATTTAACTGAGCATTGAAAATTCTACCATAAGGTATTTAAACTTTTCATCAACACTTGCATTTAAATAATTTATTACAAAAAGTCAAAAATAGAGAATAAAAAGCAACCTTATTTAGGTAACGTTTTAAAAAAAATTGGTTAACAAATAAGTATTTTATGGTAAAACGGACTAAAATAGACTTTATTGAAACTAATGGCAATAAAAAAGTTCGCCCTAAATGTGCTAAATTATTTGGCACACAAAATATCGGACGATTGAAAATGAATGTATCATTTTTGGTTTATTGTAAATATAGTCATTTACAGTAATCGGTATAATGTTAAAATCCATATTTACATATGTATATTTTACAAGTTTTAATTTTCTGACCTATTGATTAAAACCACAGATTATAGATAGATTGCTCCATAAACAAGCCATTATATAAACCTAGCTTACTCTATGGCTCAGATTTTTTTTTATTTTTGGTTACAGTTTTTACGAAATACAAATTATATTATATGGTTCACTGTTTTTTTAGTATTATAATATAGGTATGTATAATTGTATTTTATTTTACAGACTCTCACCTAACTTTTTGGATGATTAAATTTTTTTAAATGATTTGTTCGTAATATCACTTTTGGTAGGTATAACTTTAGAACTAAATGAAGGACAGTGGAACGATTTTAAGTTTATAAATATAATTAATTTACGAGCACACATATTCAACATATATATAAATCATAAATTATGAACTTTTTAAGTAAAAACTGACGATGTGGGTTCCTAAATTAAGTAAACTACTTTAACATTTTGATATTTTTGAATAAAGTGCTTAACATAATTCAAAATATTAATTTGTTTGTGACCACTCCGAAATGGTAAAACGTAAGTTTGTATTAACCTCTGCAGTCCGCTTGGTGGCGCTAGTTTGATAACTATCGTATAGGCGCTAGTATAATACACCAACAAACAAAGCTGCCAGGCCTTACTTATTTTCAGAAATTACAAAAGCTATAAATTGTAACACTTAATTGGCGATGCAAAGATTCTAACGAGCGCCTCTAGTGTCAAAATTGTGAAGCTGTCTAAGAACGACACTGACAGTTTTCGTATATAATTTACGTCACAGAATTTATTAAATATAAACCAAAATTTATTATTTAGTGGTTTCTTGTGAATATTTAAGTAAATTGCAATTAATTAAATGTGTGTTATACTAATTATTCAGTTAATATCCTTCCTTAACTCGCTTCATTACACTCGAATTCAATCCTATATTCTTTATACACCATCATTCCATATACTCCATCATTAAACTCGCATTTATTTAAGATTGCTGATTCATTTACAATATGTTTATCTGACCACCATAAGATGCACTTATTTCAGTTATTATGCCAGAAGGAGTTATTCCAATATTAAACTTAGCTTTATTGTTTTTTTTATCTTGAGAGTATGTCAATATTCTCATTTTAAACATTTACATTTATCAATCACAGTCTAATATTATTCTTGTATTTTTATATTTTTGGAATGATTTAGGTAAGTTACTACGTATCATTTCGGTATCAGGACAAAGAATAACAACTTTGAGTACCCTATTCAGCATGGGGCACATATTATTAAAATAATTAGAACATGTATACATATTTATACCAAACAAATCACCAATTGCTCTAAATGACATATTTTGTTTAATTTTTACCATTGTCAAAATAACCGACTTATTTCTCTCACAGATAACATTTTCTTTTTTGTTGGAGCATTTAAGGCCAATTCATTTAACACAAGTCACCAATATTTCTATAAGTTCAATTGAATTGAATGAATACCCGTAAAAGTAAATAAATACATGTCACTGCTGAGTAAATCTGAGAGGGTTAATTGCTTTACAGCTGATCTTTTCTCTTTCCATACAGGAAGAAAATTTGATTCATAATTTTGTGTTTTGGAAATAAATTAAAACTTATACCCGAATCTCCGTAATTATTTCATTGAGGAACGCAACAATGTTTTGTGTTTCTGATTTTATTAAAAACAGGTTTCTGTACGTAATCGTGATCCATTTGATTGCCTATGTTTAAACTTATTAATCTCAACTCGAAAGCAAAGTGTCGTTCTTAGACAACTTCTAAATTTCGCCGCTAGAGGCGCGCGGATAATCTTTGCATCGCCAATAATTATACAGAAACATGATTAATTTTCTCAATATACACAAGTCATATGAATAAAGAATCAGATATTGTAAGTTAACTTATAGAAATAAGCGGCTGTAAGTACACATCTGCGTAGTTCGTCAAAGAATAAAATGCGTGATATTAATTTTATATATAATTTACATATTTTATTAACTCAATATATTATATTACTATGCGAAATATTTAACTACTTAGTGCTCTATAGTGGTACCTTTTGTCTTCTTTAACAGAAGCTAATATTTATATAAATAACTTTTTAATATAATATTGTTATGTATGTATACAATTTATTATATAATTGGCCGGTTATACAACTCTCATGTGTCTTTGACAAAAGTAATTTTTTTTTAAATTAGTACTACGACTTGTATGTAGTAATAGGTCTTTGAACCTCTGTAGGTACGTCTGATCCGTGACGTTGTCAAATACACACATCTACACATTTATTTTGATTCGATTCTTGTATACTAATTTATGACTGTGAAACCGGCCCTAAAAATATAAACTAGCATTTCTACGGGTTTTATTCATAATTTCTTATATATAAATTAACTTAAACATTACGAGAATAACTAAATTGGTTGAGCTGATACGGATAGGAATGTGAACTACCGTTTTTTTCTCACTAGATGGTGCTAATCTAAAATGAATTATTTTTGACCAATCACCGTAGCTGTCAACATTAAACGTCCTATGTGATACTTGATAATTCCGTATTGGGCGAAGAACAAGAAGGTCATAGCAGCGACGTCTAGTGAGAGAACAAGAAGATCATAGCAGCGACGTCTAGTGAGAGAACATACTGTATCACCCATTGAAGTACATTGAACTTTAAATGAAATCCTCCCACGATATAATGTTTAATAGACATTACATAAAAATGTCTTTTATGAGTAAATTAATATTAATGCACTAATCATATACTTTTATACAATTCGCTAAGATTTTGCTAGAGAAAATTGAACCGCCGTCTTTTACTACACAGTTGATTTTTAATTGACAGGAGCATCGCATTTGTTCTGCCGAAATGGCGCCACAGGCGATTACCCGTTAAATCCTGTCAATCCTATTATTGTATGTCTATGAAGTAAGTTATTTACCAATGTTTCGTATAACTGGTTTGCACTAACAAATGATGTTTTGTAATAGCACAATGTGTATGGTTCATACTTTGGAATTACAATATAAAAATATGTATTTTCGATCCCGAAGCGATCCAAACGTCATATTTGTCTATCATTACGTGAAAGGCCTTTATTCAGAGGACTTAAAACGAGTTTGTTTCATGTTTAACGAGATGGAAACGAAACCGCGTTCGGCGCTCTGATAGGCCGGCTCCAATGAACCACCAATCAACGCGCTGACCGCGGTTTCGGTTCGATACTAAGCCCTTAGCAATGGACGTAACCTGACTGATGATGAAGATGTGACAATATAATGTTTAACTAAAGGTCTCTGCAGCAGGCGCGGCGTGCCGGGACGGCAACGCAACACTGAGCAGTTGTAGTGTACTAGATATTTCGGACGACGCCACACAGAATCGTCCCGCTCGACGCGACGGTAATCGGACGGCGCGTCACCCCTACTGTGTGCAGAGACCTTAAGTCATTTAGGCGGTCGACTTCCAAAACAAAATTATGGGTAAAACTCATTGATAAATGGTAATATTATTTATTACAATTGATTAGATCTTTGGTAACGTCTACTTTGTACTTTCGACATGGTAATATTTTACTATCTACATAGCGATATACTTCTTAACTATTCAATATAATAATTATTATTATTCAATTTTTAATAAGAAGGCAAAAACTTATTATACCTATTTTGTTTAAAGTAGTTAAAGGAATTATATTGACAAAATGGTTTCCGAAGATCCATCTCTTGCAGTTTTTAATACGAATATTTGTGTTAATTTTTTTATTTGTATGCTTGCTCGATATCTTTTCAAGTACTATTGTATTGTTTCTCATAAATCTTTAGACTAAATATCCGTCTATACGTAAGATTTTAACGCATGTACAGTACACCTATTTTCAATAAATTAATAAGATATTAATTAAAGAAATCAAAATATTTTGTGACGTATAATTTCATTGGATTTATAATCAGATCGATGGTATAGATCTAAACTAGTGCGCGAAATATTTTGGAATGGTTTGATGCATGGAATGGTTGAAAGAGATTTATTTCTTCATGAATATATGTTTTAACTATTCATATCGATCAGATATTACAATCACACACTAGCCTGTACCTTTACCTATACATGTTACACACACACACTAACATTCCGATTACATGTAACTTTTTATGCATTTCGTTCTATATTTAATGAAGATAATAATACATTATTTTACAGCAAGCAAGAACTTACACAAACAAGCAATAATGATACAAATACACACGCGAATTAATATACAAAGTTACAATTTGAACGAACATAGAATAATACACGAACACATTTAAAACCTTCACACATCATCAATACATATGAATTATCCAAACACACACAGTTACAGGTACCATTATATATAATAACATATAATAAAACATACACTTTGGAATGGACGATATCCTCATTATTGAATCTCGATAGTAACTTATTAAACAAGGATTTTAATTAATTACATATTCATCTTAATTATTTATGTTTAACGAGGTATCTCGACTAGTTACGAGCCACGATTGGAGCTCATAACTATGAGTAGCATTGTGCGGCGTTCACCGCGTCGCGAGTCACCGTTAAACATAGATAATTAATTAATATGTAGAGTTATAATACAAAACAATATTTATAATACCTTTTTTAGCACAGTAGACTGATAGTGCCGTTATCACTGGCGAGTAGTAGTAATCTATTGAGCGGTAGTACGGCCATACAAGTGAGCACGCCCCGGAAGGTGTCGGAGCGTAGCTTGGTGCTGGAGAAGCTGGCGTCCTGGCCCAGCGACGTGTGCACGCCCACGCGGTTGTTGGTGGTGCCCGAGATCAGCTCTTTGTAGTACACCGACAGGCAGTGGACGGGCTCTGTGCTGCCTCTGTGGAAATAATTAACTTTTATTAGTAACTAGCTGACCCGGCAAACTTCATACCGCCCCAAATGTTTTTATTTACCCGACTGTTTTCTCGCTTTTTAAACCTTCCCCTTTTTTATGGCATAAGCCGGTAAACGAGCGGACGGATCACCTGATGGGAAGCAATCGGCGTCGCCCATGGACACCTGGAACACCAGAGGCGTTACAAGTGCGTTACCAACTTTTTGGGGATTAGGAGTTTGAGGATTCAGGGATTGGGGAGATTGGGGAAGATGAGGGTAATTGGGCCTCCGGTAACCTCACTCACACGACGAAACATAACGCAAGCGTTGCTTCACGTCGGTTTTCTGTGAGGCCGTGGTATCACTCCGGTGGAGCCGGCCCATTCGTGCCGAAGCATGGCTCTCCCACACTTATTCCCTGGACTTCCACGAACATTTCAAGACCAAAATTTAGCAAATTCGGTTCAGCCGTTCTCGTGTTTTAGCAAGACTACCGAACGGAAAATCATTTTTATTTATATAGAAGATAGATAAACTTAATTTTCACATTTGTGTAGTGTTCAGAAAACGTATCCATAACTAAATAAAAAAAACACAAGTGGCGGCCCAAGTTTTGTTATTATTTTTTCGTAACTTTTAAAAGTGTAAAAGTTTCTGAAGTTTATACAGTCAAAAATACAATATTTTTAACCGAACACAATCTCATACGTGGATTCAATTATAACACCATACTTTACATTTTTTTTAAGGGGGGAAAATCATCGAATTACTTTTGGGTGAGGCGGGAGGGAGTGTCAGACTCTTACTGACTAAAAACCACCCCGTTCCTACTCCTGCACGTCGAGCCAGAGCCCCGGTAACCCGTTAGGTTCTCCGCGACCGTTAGGTTCTCCGCGACTGTTAGGTTCTCGACTGTTAGGTTCTCCGCGACTGTTAGGTTCTCCGCGACCGTTAGGTTCTCCGCGACTGTTAGGTTCTCCGCGACCGTTAGGTTCTCCGCGACTGTTAGGTTCTCCGCGACCGTTAGGTTCTCCGCGACTGTTAGGTTCTCCGCGACCGTTAGGTTCTCCGCGACAACCATACTTTACTAGCGTTCCTTTCAACAAACTATTAAAACAAAGAGTACATACTTGAGATGTGCAATGAGTTCTCCGTCGTCAGGTCTCCACAGAGCCGTGACCTGGTCCAGGCCTGAGCTGAGCAGTCTGTGCTCGTCTACTGTCGCCAGTCTCAATACCTATAAACAACAGAATTATACGAGATGAAAATGAAACAATTAATTTGCGCAGCGATTGCACAAGTAGGAGAGGAAAATGGTATTATGTTAGAGAAATAATTCGTTTTGAGTTGTGGTATGCTTAGAATATACATGTAATACTATTGGTTTTAAATTGAAAGACAAATCAGCAATCTTGCAAGTCGGTGTAGGTAAAATTATATAGAACATAAACTACAGACCGTTAGGGAACTACTATGAGAGAGGTCCAATACTGTAGCCTTCCCCCAAATCCCTAATCTCGAATTCCCCAATCCCCTAAAGGACGGCAAACATATTTGTAACTCTGCTGGTGTTGCGGGTGTCCATGAGCAGCGCCGATTGCTTACCGCCAGGTGATCCTTCTGCTCATTTGCCAACCTGTGCCACAAAACCTTATTCCAAGTTTCCAACCCCTATCTAAATCATCAGATCCAGCTTCAGTTTATCCAAGGTGCAGTCGTACCTCTCCATCATGCGCCTTCCAGACGGCGATGGTGAGTCCGGTGCGGAGGTCGGTGACGGCGACGTGTCCGCTGGCGAGCCCGCAGGCCGCCCAGCCGCCCGCAGAGCTCACGCACATGCAGCGGATGAACGTTGTCGCACTCATCGGGAGCTGGGGCCATGACGCTATTTTATTATTTTATACATTCAGCATCAACAGCCTATAAATGCCCACTGCTGAGCAAAGCCTGTTCTCACATGGAGAAGGTTTCAGCATTCATCGCCACGCTAGCTCAATGCGGGTTGGCGATTACAAACTTATAATTAGAAATTATAAGCCCAGGTTTTCTCAAGATGTTTTCCTTCACCGTTTGACAGTGGTGTCTGAATAATCTTAGAAAGTACATATAACTCGGAAAAAGTTACATTGGTACTTGCCGCTAGTAGGTTTCGAACCCGCACCCTCATGCATGAGAAGCGGGCGTCTTAAAAACCTCCGGGCCACCACGACATTACATGCTTACAAATCCCAAGGAATATGATACTTTTAGAGGCAAATTACTTAAAATATGGCTGACCAAATTCTCTAATACTAAACTTATTTTATCATCATCATCATCGTCATCATTTATCAACAGCCTATAAGTGGCCACTGCTGACCAAAGACCTCTTCTCTCACGGAGAAGGTTTGAGCATTAATCACCGTTTGTCAATGGTGTCTAGATAATCTTAGAAAGTGCATATAACTCGGAAAAAGTCACATTAGTACTTGCCGTTGGTAGGTTTTGAACCCACACTAATGCATGTGAAGCGGGCGTCTTACAGCTCCGAGCCACCGACATTAACTTACCTCTATTTTATAGAGACGTCAGAAGAAATCAAAAGTGTTAGGTCTTTACCTGTTCATTAGGTATTTCTTGTCTGAGTTATATAGCAACTTTTAGTAAAGCAAAATTTCAAGTAGAACCAAATAGTCCTTCTGGAGAAAAATTATCAATCTTTTTATATTAAAGTATAATTTATTTGCCATAACAGTTTAGGTCTATTTAATTTATTTTTATCATAATTTTTCAGTTAATCTTGTTAGAATGTGTAAGATAATTCCGCCGTACCTTGAGTTCATGCGAGGTGTGGGGAGTCCGTGCGTCGATGACCCTGAGCGTGGCGTCCGTGGTGGCGGCCAGTACTGCGGCCGACGGGCCCGCCAGAGTACGGACTATACTCACCGGACTCTTTAAGTTATCCAACTGTAATACAACACACAAAATATATATTACTAGCTGTTGCCCGCGACTTCGTTCGAGTGGAATTGTGATTCCCAGCTCCTCCCCCGTAGATGATAGCGTGATAATATGTAGCCTATATGTTGAACAGACTTGTAAGTAATATTCATGCAAAATTTGAAGTAAATCCATGCAGTACTTTTGGAGATCATCCCGGATATACCTACATACAAACAAACAGACAAAAATTCTAAAAACCATATTTTTGGCTTCGGTATCAATTGTAGATCACGCACGCCTCAAGTATTCTTTTAAAAAAATATTCAATGTACAGCTTTGACTTTTCTACGATTTTATTAAATTGCGCAAAATAGTATTTATTAAAACGATATGGCAGTTCAGTAGATTTAATGTCCAAATACTGAAAAGCTACTCAATTTTAACTTGTACTTATATATCGCGCCATCTCTGTCGTTTTACAAAGAACTGTCTTTGCTCGACCCTGGAATCGAAGCCGAGACCGTCTGCATTGCCCAGCAGTCTCACTTGCGACCACTCGGCCAACGAGACAGTAAATAAATAAATGTATTTAACCCAATACCTGCGACACGACGCTCTCCATGAACGGGTCCCATATATGCACGACGGAGTCTGTGGACACGGCCAGACGGAGTGACTCCAGGAACGTCAGGGATAGCACGCCCTTCTTGTGGCCAGTATACGTCCAGTTACACTGAGACGTCGCGTTACCGTCACCCTGTACGGAGAAATACCTTAAACTCTCAGCCAGAAGGATGAGGAGAAGAATACGATACTTGACAACTAGTCAAATTCAATACTTTTATCCAAACGTCAAAAACGATACTGTTCTATGAATTTTGTACGAAATACCATCTTATGACGTCATCATATTTTCGCGTCAAATAACATACTTATTTGTGAAAGAAATGCTAGAATAAATCGAAAATCAAGTACCTATATTGTCAATATTTAATTGGATTGAAAAATTATTAAAATAATGTATTTTTGATCCAGGAATCTACCCCTTTGGGTCTCTGGTAACCTCACTCGCGCGGCGAAAGAAAACGAAAGCGTTGTTTCACGCTGGTTTCCCGTGAGGCCGTTGTATTACTCTGATCAAGCCGGCCCATTCGTACCAAAGCATGGCTCCCCACCTCATTTCGTTACACAAGGTGTAGTTTTGAAGCCATGTCATTTCTCGGGAGCATATCACAGAAGCCATAAAGGTTAAATGTAAGAGAAAGTTTCGGACCAATAGTTAAAAATACGGCTATTATAAATCGTTTAAGTTCGACAGGATATCATAATAAGCGACAGCAATGTTTCTTATTGGAGTTTTATGGAATTAGGAATAATATCAATTACGTGTTTGAGTTTGTGTGTGTTAAGCCGCGTTATAAAGCTAGTTACAAGACGGCGGCGTGTAGTTCGCACTTACGGATTTCCGTAACTTACAGAAAAATGAAAAATATTTACCTACATTTTTTTTATTGATTCGGACTCAGACTCGATAGCCGAGTTACCTCCTAGAAAATGACGCGGCTTTAAAACAACAGCTTGTATAACTCTAACAAATTTCACTGCTCACCTGGTTCCTCAGCGACCACAACCTCACAGTCTTGTCCTTGGAGCCGCTCATGAAGCTGTTCTCGTTGTCCAAGCAGTGGATGGACTTAACGGAGTGGGTGTGGCCCACGAAGGTCTGCAACTTGATCTGCTTCAAGTTGAACCGGGTCTCCTTGTCCGGCCGACCAATCTCGTGCTCCCAGTAGATCAGCCAGTCACCACGTAAATGTCTAGAAACATAACATAACATCACGCCTTTTATCCCCGAATAGGTAGGCAGAGGTGCACATTATGCCACTGTACAATGTAACACCCGCTTTTCACTATTTATGTTATGAGTCCCATGTAATAGGGGGTGAGCCTATTGCCATATACCGGGCACAATTCCAGACTCCGTGCTATTACTGAGAATTAAAAAAACCCAATATTACTTTGCCCGACCCGAGAATCGAACCCGAGACCCCTAGCCCGGCAGTCGCCCTTGCGACCACTCGGCCAACGAGGCAGTCAATGTCTAGGAAATGAATTAAAATTAATTTTGACTATGCTATGCTATAACTTTTTTCTTTTTAACCGACTTAATAAAGAAGGAGGTTCTCAGTTAATCTGTATGTAACTGTGTATGTATGGTTGGTCGCGATTATCTCGTGATGGGCTGTACCGATATTGATGCGGTTATCAGAAAAGTGTTTTTATACTTAGAAGCATGTTTTATATTAATAACTTACAGACAAAAAGACGAAGGGTTTGTGTTTTTAAACGTAGTTTAATGAAAATTATATGGTTTTATAATGTGTTGTTTTAAGTGTTCACTACATTCAACAATGGAGTGGGTCACTGGGACACTGGGACAGAATAAATTCGTAATAAAAATAATCACAATAAGGATCGTTACCCCGGCCCTAACGGGTTACCGGGGCTCCGGCTCGACGTGCAGGAGTTAGAACGGGGTGGTTTTTAGTCAGTAAGAGTCAGACACTCCCTCCCGCCTTACCTAGGCGAGAGCAGTCATTCGATGATTTTATCCCATAAAAAAAATAGCCCCGGCAAGAAACTAGGTTTATTTATTCTATAAAAATTAAAAAAAAATCTTTCTTAAAGAATATTTTAGAGTACAGTTACGTGTAAATGTTGACAAATTTCTTCATAAAATAATATTCTAATTTATTAAAAAAAATATGTCCAAAATCTCTGTTTTAAATCTACAAGAAACCTAGAAAATTATAATACAAACATACATACCTATTACTCTTAATCCCATTATCAGCTTTATAAGCGACGACATCGAAACCATGCGCGTGCGCACCACTGGCGACGTCACACGCATCACTAGCGACATCTATACGATTCCCGACTAATGTGACGTTGGATCCGAAACTGTTTGAGCTGGATATATGGTCCATGACCACATCAGATTTGCTTGAAGAATCGGCTTTTCGACTTAAAGGCTCGTCACTGAATGAAAGCTGAACGCGCTTGTCCGGACGTATTTGAAGAGGAGAGCTGTGGGAAAATGGCTTTTGTAGTTATTGTGATAGTGCTTAGTTTTCTGTAATTCTGTAATACTCGATTAAGTAGTTAATATCATTTTTTGTTGTGATTTGTATGACAGAACATGTTTATGTTTTTTTTATTGTTTTCATTAATCATTTTAAAATGGGGAACTTGACATCTAAACATAACATAACATCACACCTTTTATCCCCGAAGGGGTAGACATTGTACAATGTAACACCCACTTTCACTATTTTTATTGTACGAGTCCCATGTAATTCCTACTGAGATGTTTTGAAAAAGGCCAGTAATACTTTGCCCGACCCGGGAATCGAACCCGAGACCCCTTGCCTGGCAGTTGCAGTTGCGACCACTCGGCCAACGAAGCGGTCTCGCAGCTCGCCAGTCGGTTTTTCGAATAAAAATCAAAAGTCATTATTATTTTTAACATTTTCAATAAATTACCTGATACGATGGTTTTGTTCATAGTTCCTACAGAGTGCTCTGACGGTGTCTATGTTCTTGAGACACCGCTCCATTGTGTCCGTTCCTATGGACTTCACGAAGGTAGTATATGCACGGTACGCTAATTCCTCGTCGAATACCATCAGTAACTCTTCTTGAGCCTACAACAATATATTATAAAAAGTTCTTTTAGTTTTATGATCTTATTAGGTTTTATTTTATACCTCGACGGTGGCAAAAAAGCACACGGCCCACCTGATGGTAAGCGGTTACCGTGACCTATGTAGGCTTGCAACACTTTGGAATTAAATGCGCCTTGCCGACCCTTAAAAAACGTATTCATTCTCCAATTGAAGAACCCGATATTGAAGCCCACTGGGGAAACCACGGCAGGGGTTGATTCTATTTAGATTATATCTTGACTAAAACTGCGGTAAAACGTTTGTCAACAAATCTATATATATATATAACTTCTACTAGTCTTCGATCAACAATAGCAACTAGATAAAGGGTTACGTACAAAATCAAGCTCCAGTTCTGTCCGTGTGAATAATAATAGTAAAAAAATAACAAACAGAGAAAAATGTTTTAAAATGGTTTTAAGGTCAACCTAATAACAACCATGGCACCTAATAATAAAGTCATAAATCGCCAAAATATTATCTAATACTTACGACCATTTGTCATATAAGACGAGAAAAGCTTTTTCTTACTCTTGTCATGTAGAAATTAAAAGACATAAGTTATTCAATATCTAGTTTGAATACAACCTTAACCTAGAACAAATAAAGATATTTTTTCCGTTATTGCCTTGCGATGTTATATCGTTTTGTTTTGTTTCGTTTTGGTTTTTCGAATTTCGAATTTCGCTACAGGAGGTATGTATGGAGTAGCGTTGAACACTAAAATAATTTTATAAATTATGAAAATTAATATTTCGGGATCTTAGTATACATCACTTATTTTTATTAGCGGTACGTTTTTGTGTATGATATGTTTATTTACTTTATTATTAAAAGTTTAAGTCTAAGTCAAAATCATTTATTTCAGTTAGACCAGGAAGGCACTTTTGAACGTCAATAATATAAATTTAAAAGTGAACTATTTGCTCATTCCTAGGTGTAGATTCCTATGGAGCAGAACGAGCAAGAAACTAAATAGGTTAGGTACTCTATTACAATCAGGTTACAATACAATTTTATTTTACAATACAAATCGACTCCATGCATCCACTGTTCTGTTTAAACAAATGTTGGCGATGCTTGGCCAAGGGATCGCCAACATACGCACAAACATTGGTGGTGTTGTTTTATAATTGGTAATTTTGTCTAATTTGATATTATTTACTAGTTTAAAAGCTTAAAATATAACGTATACTTTATGGACTTATCGTAAGTAAGACACTCCGGCCGTTATACTGCTTTTTCGGTTATTATTTTTGCAAATTGCAATTACGCACTGCGGCATCGTGAGTATTCGTGAGACGTGAGTACGTTGGCCGTGTTTGGAGCATACTAAACAAAATAAGAGCTCACTTCTCAAGTGAGCTCTTATTTGTCGAGACGATTTTCTTGCGCCAACCCGATATCTAGTTGTTATTGTTGATCGAAGTTACTAGTATATAAAGCTAAAGAGTTAGTTCGTTGGTTTTGAAACGAAATGAATGAAATGAAATTAAATGAAATACGTTTATTCGGCATAAAACATGCACGCCAGAAAAGACATAAAACAATAAATGGTATAAAAACAGAAAAATAAAAAGATAACAGGTAAATTATAAAACTAAAACAAGCCAGCAGTAATACAGGTGCAACATACTGCGCGGTGTTGGCGGACATGCCCAATCCGAACGGGTCACCAACTCAGCATAAAGCTGGTTTTAACGCGCTAATCTCAACCACTGGTTAAATTTGGAAATCTTTTTGCGTTAATAGTCCACTATAGGGAAGGCCACGCTACGGTAAACAGCCGGCAGCTAATGATACCACACGGGAGTAGCTACTTATGAACATACACAACATTACCTTTGTACGTTGTTCACAAACATTCTGCATCGGTCTTGGACAAGGCAGTTAAAGATTATAGTATCGAAATACATTTTTCAAGGCATAGGGTGACAAACGAGCATATAATGTCTGATAGAAAGATATCGGTTGTTGTCAGCTTTTTAGGAGATTTGGGGGTTTAGGGGTGGGAGGAGGATTGGGTTCTTTTATGGGATAAACCGGTAAAAGAGCTAGCGGATGGTAAGCAATCGGCACCGCCCACAGACACTCGGAACACCAAGGGCGTTACAAGTGCGTTGCCGGCCTTTTGGGGTTTAGGTACTTGAGGAACGTTGGGGATTCGGGGATTAGGGAGATTTGGAAGAGGAGTAATGAGGGCTACCGTTTTTTTAATCACCAAGTGGCGCAAATGTACCAAGATTTTTTTTGTCCAATCACCTTAGCTGTCAAATACTGAATTCCAATAATGTGACACTAGTTAATTTCCTATTAGACGGAAAACGAGTGGGACACACAAGTGCCCTCTGGTGAGAAAAAATACATTGGGTTTCCGATAACCTAACTCACAGTCGTTATGCAAAATATGCAACATTGAGTTACTGACCGTCAGCCGGGTAGTATCGTTGCTGTGGTCGGATATATCAGGCGGCGTGCAGGCGAGGTCGGGTATGTCGGCGCGGACCACTCGTCCGTCCTGCACGCGCCACTCCGCCGTGCTACCGTCGCGACATATCTCCAGGAACCCTTCCGGCTTTGCATCGGACGGCTCTTGCTCTGATGCCTGTAAAAAAAGGGTTAAGGGTTTAAATATACAAAATAAAAGAATCTTTTTTTGTATTAAAATAGTTTTTTATTCGTATAATATTTAGTATTTTATTTTATTTATTTTTTGACCCAGGAAACTACCCAATTATCATCATTGTCCTACGGATGTCAACAAGTGTTGATAGGAGATGATGTTCTTACCTTTTCCGGTGTGGTTTCTTCTTGTTTCGGCCAGTTGTCAATCTTGCCAGTTGCTTTATCGAACGCCAAGAAGAATCTAGAAACGAAATGAAAATGACAAACCGTTTATATAAATGTAATGTAATAATAAGCAAAGTAATAATAATATTTTAGGAGAAATAATATATTATCCTAGTTGTATGCATTTTTGTAATTAGTTTTATTAAATGTAAGATTTTAATTCTTTTATATTGTAAAATTGAACTTTGCATGCCGAAAACAGTAGGCGATGTATGTGGGACTATTTTTTTATAATTATTATTACCTGTAATTATCATACTTCGTGCTAATAAACGTTCTTATTCTTATTGTTATTAGCCTTTGCCAGCGGCGTCTCCCGCGTTCTCGTAGGATAAAAAATATGCCTATACAGGGTGACTTGTAACTCGACGTATTCCTCTCGGGAGGTGATAATACAACTAATTTCCTACAAAATTAGTCCTGAGGTCTCTGGCCCGAAAGTGGCTTGTTTCTGAGATATTCAACAATAGTGGTTTTGGTGTAAAAATCCCGATCGAACTACAAATAAAACACACACATCAATAAATAAAAAACTACTGGTTTGGTTTAAGTAATTTTAGTTTTAATTTGTTGTCAATACATCAATATTATTACCACGTCCCGAGAGGAATAAGTCGAGTTACAAGTCACCTTGTTTGTTATTCAAGACATATCCTGACAGACAAGACTGAGAAGACCGCCTAGTTGGCCGAGTGGTCGCAAATGCGACTGCCGGGCAAGGGTTCTCGGGTTCTATTCCCGGGTCGGGCAAAGTATTACTGGTTCTTTTTTTAATAAAATCTCAGTAGTAGTACAGAGTCTGGAAATGTGCCCGGTATATGGCAATAGGCTCACCCTCTATAACATTGGACTCATAACATAAATAGTGAAAAGTGGGTGTTACATTGTACAGTGGCATAATGTGCACCTCTGACTCTTCGGGGATAAAAAGCGTGATGTTGTGTTATGTGTTATTCAAGATCATAATTGACCCCTGCTCTAAATTACATCCCGATCCCTTCAGCTGTTTACACGATTGAATAACAAACGTAAACACAAGCCCACAAACAATCGCATTTATAATATTAGTAAGGTAAATCAAGTATTTGTTGACCTGGAATAAAAACAGGCCTTTGTAATCAAGTAATCAAATATTTATTGCATCCATAATGTACATAATACAGGTGGTTAGAAAATACAATTAGTAACAATTATGGACCCTGTCGGGCACAGCAATATTTAAAATTGGTAGGCGAGAGGAAGGGCATTTTGTTAGATTAATATTAATATAATCATAATTAAAAAAAGAAAAGGTATAGACAAAAATAAATAAATTATTTGCAGGACCACTTTTGAGGTGACTAATTTTCCCTAGCCAGACTTCTCTATATATCCTATTTCCTCGACTCACCTTTGTAAAGCCGGTACACAAAGATGTCTCCTGGTCATCTCCGGTCCTATCCTCAGCGCCAGTACGTGCAGCGCGTCCAGCAGCTTCCGAGTGAGTGAGCTCCGCGCCGCAGCGCCGCTCGGGTACGAACAACGAGTCGTCGACGCTAGGCGGAGAGCTGGTTGCAGGATTGATTTGAGGAATGTGTCCTGAATAAACATGAATCAATGGATTAACTAGGTGCTTTCCTTAATCAAACACAAATTATTTCAATACAATAAAATATTAAAAAATAATCACACTTCCATTGATTGATTTTATGACCGACTTAATTTTAGTATCTTTTTCAGCAAATTTTTAATCAATTCATAGAGAACTGTCGTTCTTGACAGTTCGAAAAAAGTATTGAATTTGACAACTAAATAACAGTCCATAGACTAACAAACACAAACACACACACACACACACACACACACACACACACACACACACACACACACACATACGTCCTCCCAAACTTTTACATTTATTTTATTAAGTAGGATTCTAATTTTCAAAATTATTATAAATAGCGTTCAGTCTGAGATTGTACTTAACATAGTATAACATTCATATAGTCTAGAAAATTGGTGTTATTTGGAAGGTTTTTTATAATAAAAGGCATGACAGCGAAGTTAGATACTTTTACAACAAACACAAAACTTCAACATAACATCATAACATCACGCCTTTTATCCCCAAAGGGGTAGGCAGAGGTGCACATTATGCCACTGTACAACGTAACACCCACTTTTCACTATTTATGTTATGAATCCCATGTAATAGGGGGTGAGCCTATTGCCATATACCGGGCACAATTCCAGACTCCGTGCTACTATTGAGATTTTTTTAAAAACCAGTATTTCTTTGCCCGACCACTCGGCCAACGAGGCACACAAAACTTCATATACCATATACTATAAAGGATTCATACCTGCAACTGCTCCATGAGTTTGACATCAGACATATGCGGCAGTAAGTATTTCACGAGCTGTAGACAGGCGACCACGCCGCCCTCTAGCGGCGCGGACAGGCGACGCCGACACGACGCTATCAACTCACCCATGTGAGGCAGGTATTGGAATATTATTAGCTGTTCCCCGTACATCGCTGGAAAAGGAAAAATAGAACATTTAACTAGAAAATTGTTATTAATATTTTTATTACCTGATGGTACTTTAATAGCCCGTAAATGATAGCAGAAATGTTATTAAATACCTATTTATTCAATAATATACTTTGATCTCCTAACAGCGCCAAAATTTCTGTAAAGTTAGTAATCCTCTGTCGTACCGTCTTTAGAAATAACCAGAGTAAAATTGGTCTAATTTGGTTTAATTAATCTAATTGATTATTTCCACTTTGAATCTGCCTCTAGTTCTAGATCATTAAAAACCCGCCTCATCCTCCCAAAACCGCTGCAACTCCTGTAAGCCAGGATCTACAGTAGATACAACCATGAAAACACCAGAACACTAAAGTCCGGCGCATCCCAGGGACATGAATAACTCTCTTGGTTCCCGCAACGAAGTGAATCAGAAGATATTATAAGAGGAGAAGAAATAAAACGATAGTTTCCAATTAGATCATTAAAATTACACAAATAAAGCTGCAGTTACTCACCCACAATAGAAGTGAGGCACTTGATCACCTTCATAGCATTTCTATCGCCAACCACTCGGCTGCTCACAATTGATATCTCATCAAATTCATCTCTATCCTCACTGTCCCACGGCGCCAAGTTATCCTTCCCAATATAACATAATGTCAGCATCTTCAGTAAATTCCGTGTTATATACCGACAAGTAAGTACTGGGCCTAATCTATGCGCCAACCAAATTAAACTTTCAGAACTCATATCAGAAATTTTGGACGTGTTGGGGTCTTTAAATCCTTGGAAATCTTCATCGTTCATACTTCGAGACCCTTTAGCTGACCTCTCCATATGTTTCCCTAGTTCCAAGTTTATCTGGGGCTCGTGAGATTTCCTCCTCAGTTCTACCTCAGAATCATCTTCCTCTGCGAAATGTAAGTAACTCGTAAACATCGGCTTCGTCGGTATTTCTATAGTTGGAGACATTGGTTTGTTGGAAGGTGTCATTGCTTCGTGATTTTGATCTCTATTTTGTAGCGGATTTAGTTCTTTTTGGGCTGCAGCATTTGCTGTGAAGTACTTAGTGGATATTGGTGAGACATGGTCTATTGAAGGCGAGGGAGTGTGGATGTTATCTTGAGTGTTCGAGTTGTACGAGTCTATGGACTCCGCGGGTGATTTGCTTCTACTACTTCGGCTGGGCAGCCTGTCCTTATCAGTCTCGAAATGGAACAACTCATTTTCGCTTCTATTATCACTGTCTTTCTCCTTTAAACCTTCGTGAGTCTCAGTTTTCTCGACCCCAGGGGTCGTTACGTGTTCAGACCCGTACGATGTGTCAGGTGAAAATATATCCGTATTACTGGACAGCGCATTCTTCACATTATCATCAGAATATCTCGGCTTTTTACTGGATAATGCTTTGTTGTGACACAAATGGCCTGGAGAGCCAGCTTCCTCCGTTACATCCTTGTAACCACCAACAGCCTCAACTAGGTGTTGTGTGAAGTTGTCCAGGAAACATTGGAGCCCCAACCTGACCATGAGCTGAAGGAGGAATATATTGTGGTAGAGCTTCACAAACTTCTGTTTGTTCGACACTCCCCCTGCGAGAGTGCCATCGATGTCGGTCAACTTATGCTGGTCAGGTTTGTCCACAGCAAAGTCATCGTCTTCGTAAAGGTTCAGAATATGTTTGAGAAGCTTCTTCCTCGTCTCTGCGGGCCCCAAAGCTTTGCTGACCGTGTCGAATAAGTACCACGCGGCTAATACCGACGTGTCCTTGTTCTGCAATAGCTCTATATAGTGGGAGAGGAAGATGTCTAAGACATCGAACTGGTTATAACAATTTACTTGGTTTAACAGAACTTCTAAGTGTGTAGCGCACGCTTGAATCTTTCCTTCAGCTATTTTCTGGTTAAAATATAGCTTCGTTTTGTCCACATTTTGATATTTCTCGCACTGCACGCCATCACATTCATACGTATAGAGAATGTTTAGCTCCGTGCTCGTGAGCTCGTACTCGTGCAGCGTATTCAACAACTTGTACAAAATATTAAAGCTTTGAGGAAACGGTATCAAATGCTGCATCAATAAAGGTTGCAAAAGCTGCGCCGGAGTGGGAGCTGGCAACCCTTTATCGGTTACTAAAATCTTCTTCATGGGCTCCTCCTTTTTCGGGGTCAGTTCGTTTTTGTAACTCAAACTGAGGGGTTGAACGTTTAGAAGTAATGACGCTATGTAACTAACACTTCTTGGTAACGCATTGAAATTGTATTTTAGTACTGTCCGGCAGTTGTTGTAGCGTTCTAAGAAGTTATCGTTGGCGGTTCGAAGCGGACGCATGTAGCTATGTAAAAATATTTCCACGATCAAACACCCTATGACTAGCATATCCTGACGTCTACTTTCTGTAACAAACTGCTTGTAGATCGCTGCATCTGTCGTATATCTAGTATTGAATGTCCTATTTTTCCTCTCCTTGAGAACACTTTCCAAATGCGCATCCTGAGTGAACTTCTTCAAATAACTCTGGTCATAGGACGCCAAGAACATGTGATTAGTGAATGCAGTATCATCAGAACCTTCCTTCGTGGACACCGTACTATCCTGCCTCATATCCTGCTGCACCGGATACAAGTTTAAAGTGGTGACATTTTCTTTATGTTTCTCCTTATCTTCAGCTTTGGTGAAGAAGCATTTTGTCCTGAAATTGTCGAGGGATTCTATCGCCTGTATGGAAGCTACCGGGTTGAACTCTTTGGGGAGGTATATAACACCTTTGCCGAGCTCTGATCTTTGGACCCTGTAGTGCCGGGAGTGGGAGGAAGCTCTGCCTTCCATGGGGACAGTCTGCGAGTCCTCAAGTCCTTGGCTCTTGGACAGGGAGCGAGCTCTACTGCTGCTTTTGTGTCGAGACCTGACGCGTTGTGGAGGCACGTTCAACCGCGACACGTGCTGAGGAAGGCTGGTCGACTCCTCTTCATCATCAGACACGTCATCTGAACTGTCGTTTCTGAGGGACTTTTCTGTAGACAACGATATTTAATGTGATGATCTTATACGTGTTGTACATGAGTGTCAAATAATAATTGATTACTTCGGCTATTAATTATTATTAACTGTTATTTTTTTTAACTTGATGTCTATTTTACTTGAACTTATAAAACTGTTCTGCACTTGTACTTAAGCATAAGTTAAGTTAAGCCCTTCTTTTTTTAAAGAAAATACTTACTAGCATCCTTAGGTGCGGTCCAGTGGAGGCGCGGGGGCGCGGGGGGCAGGGCGCGGGGGGCGCGGGGCGGGTGGGGCGCGGTCAGTAACTGCACCGCGCCCCCGCGACGGATGCGCGTGTGTCCGTCTACCAGCGATAGACAAACGTTCTTAGCTTTTACTGACGCAGCGCCTGATAATCTGGGGTGAAGAATAGATTATAAATAGATTTACTGAAGGTAGAATGCAACACTTAAAAGTTTTTAATCGAAGGATTTTAGTACAGATGACAGTATGTATCATTTTGATATATTAATTTAAGAGAAAATTTCGTTGTTGTTCGAATGTTGCCAATAAACAATATTAAATTTTTTAGACACTTTTGTTTGTAAAAAAGGGACTTGAAATTAGCTCAGAGCTTTTCTCAGTATATTTACGTAAGTAACTCGTGACTGCCTCGTTGGCCGAGTGGTCGCAAGTGCAACTGCCGGGCAAGGGGTCTCGGGTTCGATTCCCGGGTCGGGCAAAATAGTGAAAATTGGGTGTATATTACATTGTACAGTGGCATTAAGTGCCGTAATGTACACCCCTTAGGGGATAAATGGTGTGATGTTATATTAATAACTAGCGATTTTTAGTTAATTCAGTATGTCTAACGATAGTTATTATAAGAAAGTTAGTTCCTTACATCTTCGGTTTATTTAACACAGAATTGATTTTAGACATCATTCACTCACTTGTATCCAAAAGTGATATCAATCCAATGATGCAAGTTCTCCGACACATGCGTACTCTCTAATGCTTCTCTATGTTTCGTTATAAAGTCCTCCACACAGGTCGCCCACGACGGTATACCTAGGTCCTAGAATTAGTCAAATAATGAAATACAACGATTGAGCATCAAAATTACATATGTTACGAGATCGAAATGAGAATATTCTACTTTTAATAACATAACATAACATAACATCACGCCTTTTTATCCCCGAAGGGATAGGCAGAGGTGCGCATTTCGACACTTTTTTTTTAAGGGGGGAAAATCATCGAATGACTGCTCCCGCCTGGGTGAGGCGGGAGGGAGTGTCAGACTCTTACTGACTAAAAACCACCCCATTCCTTCTCCTGCACGTCGAGCCGGAGCCCACTTTTCACTATTTATGTTATGAGTCTTACTTTTAATACTACCAGAAAAATCGTAACATAATCAAATCAATTTTTCAGGTGTCCATTACACTAAAAGACTGGTTTAAAATGAATAGTGTAAACAGTAGAATACTAATGTAGCGAAACTTGCGCATGCGTTACCTACTGCTCTTATTAACTTTCATTTTGCTTCTTATCTGATTTTGCTTACCGGCAGATCTTCATGTATGCTCTTAAACACAGTGGGGTCTGTGTAGAACTCCGGTATGCACTCGTCTGGGGTCCATTCCTGCATGCGTTGTATCGACGCGGGATATTCAGCCGGCACCCATTTATTTCTCACATATTTACATAAAACCTCCTTAGGTGTTCTAGAAAAATAATACCATCGTTAAAATGTGATACAATTATATAATATTTTTATTTTCATACTCAATTGTAAAATCTCTATCTATTATTTTTGCATGCATAATGCATATACACTTTCTTTTATCTTCAAACCACACTTTAAACATTACCAAAATACTAATTTATTCAAAACTCATTACACAGTCAATGACATTTTAATGATTAAAACAAAAAACCAAATTGAAAATAACATCTATTAACTAAGTCAATCATCATTATTACTCAAGGAAAAATAAGTCTTATGCACTGGTTCATTATGGTAATTTTCGTACAAACCTGCGCGCTAGGTAGACGTAGCAAGTTATATCAGAGAGGGCGTCGGAAACATGGTGCGGGATCTGGTCGGTGCAACTGCTGACGTCATAGGTCATGTCTAACTGTCTGTCACCCTTATTCAGCCGGTACTTCGACTTGCTTAGGTCTCGCCAGTTTCTACCTACAATATTAAAAAAAATACGATGGGTAACAATAAATAATATACGAAATTAATAGTGCATATCGAGGGGTAACGGGCTATTTGGTTTAAGCGACATTTTTGCAACTTTACAGGAGAGCCTTTTAAAGTTTGAAATTTCGAAAAAAAATTCATAACAAAAACGCTTCTGCAGTTATTTGAACGGGGTAAATTGCATTGAAATTTAAATAAAAATATCTAGTTGCTGATGCTAATTCCAAATAAAGCGGACCTTTAATTACAAAGATAAATGTCACTTAATACAATCTGCCCTTTTTTAGAGTCAGGAAAAATGATTTAAGTGACTTCATAACTACAATTGGCTACAAGGGAAAAAAATTAAGCGACGATGCACTCTATTTACAGAGTAAGCCAAAAAGTATGAAGTAACGAAACCCAAAATAAATAGAAGCAAGCTATTTATCTCAACTACCAATTTAGACTAAAATGAGTAACAGGCTAATTTACTTATGTGACATATAACATTGAAATTGTATCGTTAAATGTTTATGTTTATTTACATCTAAGACGATTAATGGCTGATAAAACAACCTGGATATATCGAAACAACCGAAAATCTCAGGTGCTTACATCGGATAAATAAACACAACACAATATCAAAGTATTTATTTAGATTAATAATAACAGTCTGCATAGGAACAACGATTATATTATTATTTATTCAGCAAAATCAGATAAATTAATGGGTTATTTACTGAAATTGCCGTTTTGTATGAAAAAATTTAAACGATTTTTTTCATGTATTTTTTATTTGTATTTATCGAAGTAATCACCCATGTAATCAATGCATCGTTGCCAACGCAGTGGCAGTTTATTGGGCATCAATAAACTGCCACAAAATACTTCTTAAACAAATCAGCTGGACGGGTGGCAACAAATTCTTTAAATGCATTTTGTACTGCCTCTCGGGTAATGAATTTTTTTCCCGCGAAGAAGTTATTCAAATTCTGGAAAAGAAGTAGTCTGGTGAGTAGGGTGGATATTGGAGAGCTTCCAACCCCAGTTCTTGTAACTTGGAGACCATCTGTTGTGCAGCTTTAGGTCGCGCGTTGTAATGCAGGAGCAATGGAGATGAGCGATTGACCAGTGCTGGTTGGAGATGTGTCAGCTTCTCCATCATTGTGTTCAGTTCTTCACATTACACATCCGCAGTAATGCTCACTCCGTTTGGTAAGAACCTGTGATGAATCAGACTGGCGCTAGACCATCAGTGACCATCACTTTTCTAGGAGTAAGTTTTCGTTTCGGGTATTGTTTAGGTGCTGAACTAACTACTACTACAACTATGTTGAGCAGTGCAAGGCACTGCTCGATGCATACTTAGCTCTGGCGATCATTGAGTTTGTGGGACACCCACTTGTCAAGTTTTTTTACCTTGCCAATTTGACGTAAATGGACCAATATTGTTTTGATGCTAACGTCGAAAGCTGTTGCTAAATCAGCCGTAGATTGTATGTCATCAGCTTCCACAATAGCCTATTGTCACCAAAGTCTTCGGACGACCGCGAGGTTGATCTTGAAATTAAAGTACTTAGGATTCAATTTCGATGAGCGTTTTACGTAAACACTGGCGGTGAGTGCGCGTCCCGTCTGTCTTCGACGCATTCTGGAGTGACTGAAGCGCCAGCGCACGATAGTCCAGTTGGATGATCACGATTTTTAACACCCGGGCGATGAAATAAATATAGTATCATATGACATGATTGAAATGTACCATATTAAAATTTAGTGATTTAAAGACCGATTCATATTTTTATGAATACTGGCAAAATGTTTCAATATCCATTATTAATGTTATCATCTGTATAAAACGACATGCATTTTAAAAAAAAGGAGGGCTAAATGATTTATGACTAAACAAAATATCTGAACGAAAACGACTATTTGGTTTAAGTAGCACCCTGCGTGGAAAATAAAAGCAGCTAGAAGTGTTTAAGAGACGAACCATGTCGTATTTGGGTGACGGATAAATGTTTTAAGCGACAACACACCGTGTGATTAGTGGGAAGTCAAAATGATTCAAGTTACTTGCTAGTAAAAATTAGAAACAGGAAAAACGCTTTAACTCATTTTGACTTATTAATTAGAGATAGGGTGACTGGTTTATGTCTCGGTTATTAATATGATGGTATGGTTCAAGTACATAATTTAATAAAAAATGCGAAATCCATGTCGTTTAATACACTGTCACTTTGGAAACAACACGAAAATAGAATTGTTTGAAACGCCAAAAAAGTGCTCCGATTTTAATGAAACCGGCATCAATCGACGGAGAAAAATTCGCTGATTCCGAATATATATATAACTCAATATCGCCCAAAATGTCGCTTAAACCAAATAGCCCGTTACCCCTCGATATTATGTTATGTCATATTGCTATTAGAATTTAGTATGATGCACAATATTTTTATATTTGTGTGATCAGCTGACATACTGTTATCCATCACTTCTTTATAACCACTTGACAATTTCTTTTCTTCTTATATAATACCAACCATAGATTAGATGAGTTTTAATTGGGAGGAAATAACCTTTTTTTGTTACATGTGTCAGTGGCTGATACTGTTCACTCCACTAAGGGACTGGCACAGATGTTTACAGCATTTCTTAATACACCTTTCTCAATTATTTTACAAGTTACAAACTGAGAGTAAATTGGTCATAAAAATCTGTCACTGACTTATGGACTATCTATTTATTAAATTCTATGAACATGGAACTCAAGAATACACTTGTAAAACATAGAAAATATAAATCAAGTTACCAACAATTCATTAGAAACAGAACAAAAACCAATACTGTTATCATACGCAGAAAATTGGCAGTTTTGCTTTATAAACATCAATCTAGAAATGTCTACATATTTATCTATTTCATTTAAAATTTATTCAACTTACTTTGTAATGTACTACATTTAGCTATTTGTATACAAAACAAATATTACTGATAAATTTATGAGCATCTGTGTGACAGATAACAATATGAATCATTGTAATATACACATTTTTATCACACAAACAAAAGCATTATTCTACACAGACTTACCACATCTAGACGAGAAATCAGTGACCCAAGGGACCATGAAGTGGGCTTGTGGATCATTGGTCGCTCTTCCAGCTAAAATATTCAGGTGTAGCAAATAGTCAAGGTTAGATATCCTTCCTCTCACCCACAACATACACAGCTTCTCTAACTGAATAGCCTCCTTGCGCCAACACCACTCCTCTCCCCTTTTCCCAGGAGGAGCCTGACTTATTGCAGGAGTGGTCTGTTTACTTCTATTGTGTTCAATAATCAGGGAAGCATCCAAACAATGTATATTATTAGTTATTGTTGGTAAAACCTGCAGCCACAAATTCTCAGACAAGTAAATATCTAGAAGGGTCAACATCCCCAAGCTTAGCCCTCTGTCACTCATAGCTTTAGACAAGTTCAACAGTTGGTACACTATGAACAAGCCTCTACTGTAATTCATGTCTATTAAGTTTGGACTGAAGTTCAGACAGTCTAGGAGGGTATTCTCATATTGTGCCCTATATATAATGTATAAGTTATTATCTGTTTCTATAGTAAACATGGCTGCTAGCAGGTTGCCATGAGTTTCATACATTTTTAAAACATGTTTATTAGGTATTATCTCTTTGTACTCTATGTTTTTTCCAGCTCCATCACACTTTACTCTAATTATATTACACCCATACAAGCGGAGCACTACCTCAGACATCAACTGGTCATGCTCCAATAGATTCACTATGGTACTTTCCTTACTGCTATCATTATTTTGACAATATTTCTTGTATGCTTCTTTCCACAGTGTTCTTTGGTTACTCTGTGACACATATTGTAAGAGTTGGGAGAACGTGAGGGGAGTCTCGTTAGTGTTTTCGTTAAGCTTATAACGAGGTAAAGGAAGAACCTTGGACACTTTTTTACTCAACACCTAAAATGCAAAGGTTTTCTTATTAGAACGTGTTAAAATAGAACAGCAATATTTTTACAACAATAGATAATTCACATACCCTCATAAATATTTTTCGCCACGGATAAGGTACACTTTCACCAGGTTGCAAGGTAAAATCTACATTGTTCAGCGAGGTATCTATTTCGATGTTTTTTATCCATTTTTTCAACCAAGCTGTGTGGACGACGACGGAGAACAGGCCAGGGGATGCAGTTGGGAATATATTCTTATTACTTATACCTAATTCCTTAACTATATAATCCATCTCTAAATTATTAATGATGTTTTGTTTTGTTTTGTTGCGTACAAAACTGCAGTCATTATCAATTTTGACATTTCCTTGTGATTGACATTATGATTTAATGATGACATTTTAAATCTGGGATGCTAATGCAAAAAAAGGTTAAAGTTTTTGAGGGAATCAAGAACGTTGACGTTGAAAAGGCAACGTTGTGAACAATTGAACTTGATGCAAAGAACAAGCAAAGATTAAACGGTCAATAGCTGTAATATTTTGTAGCAATTTACAAGAGTCCCTTAGGTACTTTAGAAAAAAAAGTCACAGTAAGTTTTAATCCGTTTAACTGCTGTAAGTCAAAAAGGTCTAAAAAAATCTTCTTTGAATACCCTGCAAACCTAATACATAAGCAATCCATAAAATGTAAACCTTACATCACGTATATTTTCCCAGTAAATGGAACACACATTTCTGGCTAATATATGATAATATAGTTTAATATAATAATAATAAACGTTTATTAGCACTTCATAGAATTAACACAGTGAAGCCCCGGCTCTTGTACTAGGTATCCCTGTATCACAAGAGCCAGGTCTCTCAATATACATGGAATGATAGCATCACGTGAGACTTGACAATTAATAATGACTTACATATAATACGAGTAAATTCAAAGTTAGATAAAAGTATAAACAAAACCAGAATAACTATAAACGAGAAATAAAAAGATAAACAATAATTAAAACTGACGCTGTTTGTGAAAGAATGGTGTGTGAGTGTATTCGGAGGTGTGTTGGTGTAAGGTGTGTGTGCGTGTGTGCGTGTGTGTGTGTGTGTGTGCGTGGTATCTCAAAATGTATAAACATATACGAGTGAATAGAGTTGTTAGTTGGGATGTCAGGCAATGTTGCCGAACAAGGTTTCAGTTTCCTCATAATTGAGTTTATCCAACCAAAGGATAAGGCTCTTTTTAAATTAGACATTGCTCTGTCGTTTCAGTTGCTTCATACCCTTGTCCCTGCCGACCATGTTGTAAATGCGCGGTGCAACATAAGAGTAGTGCCTACTCCCGAAGACACTACTTGCTCCCTCGACCGGGCACTTGTCAATTCTCTTAGAAGATATTGGTAGGCTTGGGACTACTTGTTTGTGGTATCTTCGCAAACACTCATACACAAACGTTTTACGGACACTGAGAACTTTAGCCCTTTCGTAGACCTCCGATGTGGGTGTTCGGTGATGCAAGGACAGAGTGACTTTTAGCACTGTGCGCTGGGCCCGTTCCAACTCAATCATGTGGGTTTTGCCAGCCCCGCCCCAAGCGCAAATGGCGTACCCCAAGACACAGTGGCATAATGCCTTGTAAACCCGCAGCAGAAGTCCAGAACTAGATACCTGTCTCAGTGTTTTGAAAATATGAATCAATTTCCGCACTTTCTTGGCTGTTGCTGAAATATGTTGAGACCAATTGAGATTCTCATCCACAACCACCCCCAAGTATTTAATTGACTTGACTCTATCCAGCGCAGGGCAGGCACAAGAGGCAAGGTTATTTAAAATTCTATTGCAGGGAAAGGAGTGGATGACAATATCAAAGGTTATGGGACCTCCTGCTTTGGTCTTGCTAAAACAAACATACTTTGTCTTGGAAGTGTTCAATGATAGCAGACTGTCCTCCAACCACGCCGTGATCCGAGATAGGCCCACCTCACAGACACTTTTTAGATTTTTCCAAGATTTCTCATGGAATAGCAGGACTGTGTCATCAGCGAACATTAACAAATCCGCATTAGGTATTTCAATGCCACACAGATCATCGATGTACACTAGAAATAATGTTGGAGCAATCGTGCTGCCCTGAGGAACGCCATAAGAACATAAAGCTTCATCACTTATTGTATTCCCCAGACGAACGCTCTGGCTTCTTCCAGATAAGTAACTTAACAGCCATTCCTGTGGTACTCCCCTGATTCCGATGTTTTCTAGTCTGCTTATTAGAATGGGAATTGAGACTGTGTCGAAGGCCTTCTGAAGATCGAGGAAGAGACCGACACATTTCTCCCCCTTATCTATATATCGTGTGATACCTTCAGTGAGTTTGAGGATGGCGTCATTAGTGGATCTATTGGCTCTGAAGCCAAATTGGTTAGGTGATAATATATTGTTCAATTCAAGATATTTTACCAATCTTTTATTTGCGATCTTTTCTAATATTTTTGATAGGACGCTGAGGAGAGAGATGGGTCGGTAGTTGCTGGTTAGTTTTTTGTCACCAGCTTTAAAAATAGGAGTAACGGCAGCTCTTTTGAATATGGACGGAAAAACGCCGTTGGAGAAACTCAAATTACAAAGATGTGCTATTGGGGAAGATAGCCTAAATTTGTGCCTTTTTAAGATATTAACGGTAATATTATCTAGGCCGGGAGCACTGCCATTCCTAAGACCAGCTATCACTTGAATTACTTAACATTCGTCTGTAGGAGACATTGCCATAGAATGTAGGAAACCTTTTGGTTTTAATGCTTTAGTTGCTAAGGATTCCTCACTTTGCTTAATTTTACTTAAGGTGTTTGCGGCCAGGTCGTTTCCAACTGATGTGAAATATTTGTTTGCTTCGTTAAGGGAGTCAACCGGGTCAGATTGTGTGAGCAATAACTCCGTGGACCTAGTGGGGACATGTTTTATGTTACACATGTCTTTTACCACGTCCCATGTCTTTTTTAGGTTTCTTTCGTTTTTCCGTAATTCAGCTTCATAATAGGAGCGCTTTAAATTGACGATTATATTATGACAGGTGTTCCGGTATCTGGTATACTGATTCCGTAGTTCATCGTTATTTGTGGATTTTTTTAGATTTAGGTGCATTTTATCCCTCCTTCGTATGCATCTCACCATGCCAGTTGTTATCCATGGTTTTAATGGATTCTTCCTTCTAGACATTTTGATTTTAGTGGTATTTTTTGCTATAATATCTCGCAGAGTGTTGACTAGGAACTCAGCGGTTTCATTGGTATTCTGTGAGATGTAGTAACTACCCCATGAGATGTTTCCTAAGTCTTTTTCTATTTGCTCGAAGTCTAACCTAGATTTGTAGATCTCAGTTGTTTTTTTAGCATGGATTAGGTCTTCCAAGTGTATAAGTATAGGACTATGGTCTGTTAGTGGGTCAAATACATATGTCGTGACACGCTTATGCGTTTTGACCATAAAGTAGTCAAGGCAGTTGCCTTGTCTGGTCAGGGTCAAAGGTCATGTATTAATGCTTGTCATAATTCTGTATTAATGCTTGTCATAATTCTGTAACAATGCTTGTCATAATTCTGTAACAATGCTTGTCATAATTCTGTAACATTGCTTGTCCTATTTCTGTAACAATGCTTGTCATAAGTTGTCATATAATAAGGCTAATTTAAGACCTTTTAAATTGTATAGTTTGTTAGCCAGATTTAGGAGGAGATTAGGAGATTTAAAATCAGGAGTTGAAGACCATCTCAACAGAAGTAGTTACTTACAGTTGAGTCGCATAAGGAAGTAGTAAAAGAAAACAATTTTGTATGAAATTAGTTACTATAATAACATACAATAACATGAATAATGAATACAATACATTTTCTTATACTCTATGATAAATCTTGAATATTTTAGTGTTATAATAACACCATCTATGTAATGTAGGAATGTAAAGGCACTATAAATTGGTTGTTTTAGCACCAAAGTTATTATTCTACAACCTTTATTTTATCACAATATATTTGGTCCCCTATACAAAACACATGCTAAATAACGGAGATATTCATAATTCTGTAACAACATTCATAATAAACTTATTATAACATGATATGTATCATAACGAAAATTTAAAAGTTGTCTGAAATATAATATGTCTTAACAGATATATAGCACATCAAAAGAATACAATTTTAATTTATTCTAATTTTCCAGAGACTCTCTTCAAGTAGCATTTCCACAGAGTATCTTTGTAAATTACTGCTTGAGCTTCTGGGCTTTTGGCTGCCACTATGCCTCTCCCCACAACTATCACATCACCTCCTTTCTCCAAGATGACCTTCTCCGGAGTATTGTAGACCTGGCCCAAATCATCTTTGCTACTCTCCAGTTGTACTCCTGGGGTTAGCTGTATAAGACCTGGATCTTTGAAAGTGTCTTTGTTTTGGCAAACAAACCCAGTAATCAATTCTGGATATTTTGATGCCATGGCCACGGTTGCTTCTTTGTAATCTGGTGTTATTAGATTTCCCTGAAAAGTAAAATAAGTAATTAATATTTGAATGATCAATGGCTGTTACATTTGATTAGTGATAAGAAATTTTACCTCACTGCTCATTTCAGCCAGCAGAAAAACTCCTCGATTGACACCATTTGATGAACTGAGAGCTTTCAGTATGCCTTCACCAGGCAAAGAATGGGCAGTCACACAATCAGCCCAGTCCCCTACTTTGTACAGGCCTTTGGAATACTGCAGAGACACAGTATGACCAATATCAGCATACTTTCTATCTTCTAGTATCAAAAAGTTGAATCTATCTGCCAGTTGCTTGATTCTAGTGATGAAATCACTAGTATAGTCCTCAATGATGTCTGCATGTGTCTTCACGAGACAAACATGTTCACCAACTTTTTCTAGAAGGTCCAGGATCTTCGTAGCCGATGTCAAATCAACTGACAGACACAAGTTGGTTTTCTTTGTTGCTATTATACTGAATAGCTGTTTAGCCACTCCATTTTTAGCGAGTTCAGCTCGCTTTTCATAAGTCAGCGACATTCTGTCCAACAGCTTTTCTGTAAATACAAATAATAATTATTTAATGTTAATTAAAATTTCTATAATTGTCTTTTGCCTTCCCCAAGCTAGAGAGGTCCATGAGAATTTACCAATGATGTCAAAAATGCAATTCTATTAGTCACTTCTTTCATTTACAAGTAACATGTGTATTTGCCATGAATGTAGATAAATATTATCAGTAATGCTAGGCAACAACATTTTAGTAAATTAATTAACTGAATAAATTAACATACCAATGACTGGAGCCTGTGTCTCTTTCAAGTACAACTTCACTTTAGTCAC